TTTCGCTCGCTACTTTCTCCTACCTAGCTAAAAACCTCTCCTAACACTGACGCCCTCCGCTTACTGCATATCCGATATCCTGGTAATATAAATTGAAAATTACCTACAGCCACGACTATGTTCGCAATGCCAGCGTGCCGAAAGCCGCCCAAAACTTTCCGCGAAATGGTGGATCCGTCGGCGTCTACCACCATGACTCCTGAAGAAAATGTGGCAGCACTTGAAGAAGTTCGTCTTACTCACGAGTTGTATATGCAGGAGTTGGCGCGTCTGCGAGCGGAAACGATCCAAACTGAATATGAGATATTTGCACTTCAGAGCCGATTGCCTCATATACGACACAACATGATTGTACCAACAACAAATCAAGGACAACATGAGCAAGTAACCCTGCAGCGTTCCGAAATACCGGGCGACAATCAGCGACCACATGCGGCTTCGCCCGAGGGTTCGACTAACAATCTGTCACCGTCTATTGGACGACCGGAAATTGGCGAAAAGACAAACGGGAATTTGTCACCCCCAATTACCTCTCCAACCGGCTTGCAAACTGCCAACTAATAGTTGTCTGTCAGCGGGTGGATTTTTCACCTGAACGTTTTTTACAACTGCAACCTCGCCAGCGACGACGCACAGAAAATCCGATACGCCGTGTCGCTCCTATGTGGACCGGCTATGGATTGGTGACAGCAGATAATTCAGTCGAAGGAGCCGGATATAACGCCGCGCGTGATCGGGCATTTTCGCATGACCAATCACTGGGCAAGAAGTTATTGCGAAGTGGATGAGTACCGCACATGGTGATCGTGATGCGCGGAAATTCGTCGCCGCTTTGAACACGTCAACGCAAGCAATTAAGCGCGCGACCGCCTTCGCACGTGGCACCAACGCGGATCGGTAGAGGACTACACCAGCAGCTTCAATACTTGATGCGACCAGGTCCGCTACATTCACCCTGACGAGAAATTCAACATATAAATTGGGGGACTTCTACCAGGTCTGCGCAAAGAAATACAGATCAGGGAAATTACGGATTTGATGGAGGCGCAGAGGGTTGCAGAGCGGTTGGATTCGTTCTTCAAGCCAAGGGCGGGTTCCTATGACGGAAGTCGCACTCGGGGACCAATCGAGCTTGCCACTGTACACGATGTTACAACATCAAACTCAGCAATTACAGTGTTCAAGGGTCCTTGTTTCGGGTGTAACAGGCTGGGACACCGCAAGTCAGAATGCCTAGAGGAGTGGAAGAAGCAGAATCAGGGGCAGGGGAATTCCAGCGACCAGGGAAACGCTTAGTATCAGTAGTAAACGGGCCTACTAGTGATGGAACCTGCCCACCTGTGACCGATGACCCTCATCGAGTGGTACCGATCCACGCAATCGGCCAAACTCGGCTAAATAATGAGGGTGGAGCGGCGGATTACCCCATTAATTTAGAGGGTAGGGTTCAAGGGGGGAAAAAAAATCTTCGTGGACGGGGGAGCCAGCCACAACCTGATCAGCCTCGCCACGACAAAAAAAATGAAGTTACCCTTAGATAAGTGTCTACCGGAGGTTGACGCGCGACTAGTCGATGGGAACCCACTAGCAGTAAAAGATTGGGCGGACAAAATTAGGGTATGCTGCGGAGTTGAATTCAATTTTTCGATGGGGATGCAGGCAACTACACTCGACAGTTTTGACATATTGTTGGGACGGGATTGGATGCGACGGTTCAACCCGAAAATTGACTGGACGACCGGCAGGTGTTCTGTCAAAATCAATGGCTGCAGTGTGATGTTACCAGAATGGACGAAGGGGATCACAAGGGGGGTGACGCAGGGGAACTTCGTGGCGATCAAACGTGCAGTCGCACGAGGCGCAGAAGTCTTCGCTGTAGTTATTTGTGCAGTCGACGTGGCATCGTAGCCATCCGATTTAGAGAAGCTGGCAGCAGCAGTGCCGGCCGATCTTGCGCATCTGATTCACAAATTTCCGCAGATATTTCTAGACGACCTGCCTGAGGGATTACTACCGGAATGACCCTTCGACCATCGAATAGAATTAGAACCGGGGACATAGCCCACAGAGCAGCAGCAGTTTCGATTAACATAGCTGATGTTAGAGGAATTACGGAAGCAGCTACTGTAGCTTATTTACTGGAGAAAAAAATCATCCGCCTGAGCTCCTTGCCATTTGCCGCCCCCATATTGTTCAACCCGATACCAAATGTGCACTGACTACAAAGCACTGAACAGGGTGACTATCAAGTCGCGTTACCCTATCTCGCGGGCCGACGAACTGATTGACCAACTTCGCAAAGCTCGCTTCTTCTCAAAAATAGATTTACGAGGGGGTTACCATCAGATTCGCGTAGCCGCAGGTGACTATTACAAAACTGCGTTTTGTACTAGGTACGGGAGTTTCGAGTATGTACAATTATGCCCTTAGGTCTGACAAACGTCTCAGCAACGTTTCAGATGACCATGAACTAGATCTTCAGTTCCCTCGTAGATAAGTGTGTTATAGTCTACTTAGATGATATATTGATCTACAGCGAGGTTTGGGAGCAGCACTTAAAGGACCTTGAAGCAGTTTTCACGCTACTACAGGAGCATCGGCTGCTCACGAAGGGGTCTAAGTGCGAGTCCTTTAAAGACCGCTTAGAATTTCTGGGACACGTTATTTCCGCTAGGGGCGTCAAAGTGGACTCGCACAAAATCGAGACGGTGCAAGCCTGGCTACCGCCTAAGAACCTGCAGGAGCTGCAAATTTTTTTAAGGTTTGTCAATTATGTTCGGAGATTTATCCCGAGTATGGTGAGGGTAACTGTACTGTTAGCCGACCTGATGTGGAAAGGGACTGAGTATAGGTGGGGGGAGAAAGAGCAAGGTGCCTTCTCTGTGCTCAAAACTTTTATGTGCTCAGCCCCTGTCCTTCGCATCGCCAATCCTCACCGCCCATTCGAAGTAATCACAGGCGCCAGCGACATCGCCATCGGAGCAGTACTGTTACAAGACTTTGGCGAAGGATTGCAACCAATCGCGTACGAGTCACGAAAGCCGCACCCGCCCGAATGAAATCATCTGAAACATGACAAGGAGATGCTCGCGATCGTGCACCCCTTCAAGGTGTGGCGGTGCTACTTGACAGGCGCGGACGTGACAGTACTTACGGACCACCGAAGCCTACAGTACATCCGCGCGCAGCCGCTACTAAACCCTCGACATATCAGGTGGTTGGATTTCATGGAGTCCAACTTCCACTACACAGTCACCTACAAAAAGGGGGCATCGAATATTGCAGACCCCATTTCTCGCCCATCCGCCCATCTCAACTCCATCATTCTCGCCCAAACATCTCTGTTATTAACACACCTATTTTACCAACGGGTAACAGACGGACAGATTCTTTACGTCGGGTGCGTACGAACAGCTCGCAACAGCTAAAGGAGTCTATTACGTAAAGACAAGGACTGACCGCATATTGGTACCAGAGTACAGTTTATTACAAAAGCTACTGTTACATGAAGCCCATGAATGTACCGTTTCGGGGCACTTAGTAGTGGAGAAAACACCGCAGCAGTTGACCAGATACTATTCCTGGGCCGATATGGAAGGGGACGTGCAGCGGCATGTGGTTTCGTGCAGAACCTGCCAAACCATGAAATCATCAGAGCAGAAGCCAGCTGGACAGTTGCAGCCGATTCCACCGCCTGAACGCGCGTGGCAGCAGGTGGCGATGGATTTTATTATGGGATTGCCTGTCAAGGACGGCTGTAATGACGCGATATTTGTCATCGTCGATAAGCTGACGAAGATGGCCCACTTCGCCGCCTGCAAAAAAGTATCGCAGCCGAAGAAACGGCCGGCCTTATCATCTCAACCGTGGTTCGCCTCCACTGAATTCCATCCGCTAGCATTTCGGATTGTGACACAAAATTCTGCGATAAGTTTTGGCGCAACCTCTGGGAACAATTTGGCACGCGTCTGCAATTCTCCTCCGCCTACCACCCCGAGACCGACGGACACACCGAACGGGCCAATCAGACATTGGAATTTGCCGAAATATTACAGAATGCCGGGGAACGAGCAGCCGAAGCCATTAAGCGCGCGAATGTTATTTCTAAGCGCAACACCGATCTACTCTACACCGACAAGCAGTAACTTACTAGGCTGGAGACTTAGTACTACTTGACATCCAGAACCTTCGACTGCCCATCGTCCCGAAACTTCGCCCTCGCTATTGTGGACCATTCACCATGAGCCACATGATATCATATCTTCCGGTACAGCCCATCTTTTGTTACCGGCCACCTGGAACGTCAGCCCATCATTCCACGTGCGATTACTTCGACCATACATCGCTAGCACCAGCAAAATACCACGTCACCGAGCGAATCTGAATATCCATCGGATCAAGGACCCTCGAGGGGCTCACCTGATCGAGTTTCTGATATCTTGGACAGACCAGACGGCCCTGGAAAACAGTTGGGTGCCCCTGGCACAGATCGAGAATTACACGGTGTTACGAGTCTACCTTCAGTCACACAATGTGCGCAACGTCGATGGTCTTAGCTAAGACCATACCTTGGAGGGGGGAGGGTGTAAGGAAATGGTCTTTCCTTATCACGGGTTTTAGTCAGTAAGGCGTACACAGTACACTGCTATAACGGGGTTGCCGCGCAGCTCTGCCACGAAATTGAAATCGCGGTCCCGAATGTGTCCTGTTGAGCCGCATGCATTGTTGCCGGCCTTGCTGTTGCATGCCTAGATCTGGGCGCTTCACGCCAATTTACAAACCACACATTGCAGCTCTGCCGAGCCACGACCGTGTGCTCTGGGCTAGCTATATCCATGCTCCCTGCTGTTTTGATGTTGCCTCAATTGTATTGTTTCCTCGTTAATCAATCCTTTTTGTGCTTTGTTCTCTTTGTGCTTCATTGTGCTTCATTCCACCTGGCCATTTTTTCCCATTGCGAGCATTGTTTATATGGCAGTGCTTATTTGTTAGCAAGTGCATAATACTCATGCCGATTATTCAGCTCGAGATCTGACAAGCACATGCTAGTAGTGGTGAGGTGTGGTGTGGTGTGGTGTGGTGTGGTGTGGTGCTCCTTTCAACAGCTGAAGCGTGTTCTACGCATGCCTTTTGATCTGACTCGGAAGTCATCTCTACACTGCAACCATCTCTGCCAGTGGCATTGCCTGGATGTATCCATGGCATGCTGCTGTCACTTGCAAGTCCCCCTCACTCCCACTCCCTGCACTCCCAGTACCCCCTGCACCCCCAGCACTCCCTGCACTCTCTGCCCTTCCAGCACTCCCAGCACTCCCTGCACTCTTAGCATGCCCTGCACGCCCTGCACGCCCTGAACTCCCTGCATTCCCAGCACTCCCAGCACTCCCTGCACGCCCTGCACGCCCTGCACGCCCTGCACACCCTGCACTCGCAGCACTCCCAGCACTCCCTGCACTCCCTGCACTCCCTGCACTCCCAGCACTCCCTGCACTCCCTGCACTCCCTGCATTCCCTTCACTCCCAGCACTCCCTGCACTCCCAGTAATCCCTGCACTCCCTGCACGCCCTGCACTCCCTGCATGCCCTGCACTCCCTGAACTCCCTGCATGCCCTGCACTCCCCGCACTCCCTGCACTCCCTGCACTCCCTGCACTCCCCGCACGCCCTGCACTCCCTGCTTTCCCTGCACGCCCTGCACTCCCTGCATGCCCTGCACTCCCTGCTTTCCCTGCACGCCCTGAACTCCCTGCATGCCCTGCACTCCCCGCACTCCCTGCACTCCCTGCACTCCCTGCACTCCCTGCACTCCCTGCACTCCCTACACTCCCAGCACTCCGTGCTCTCCCTGCGCTCCCTGGAAATACTTGTCGCAACGATGTCTGACTGCTGCCACAACCGCTGCTGCTACTGTTTCCAGATCGTCTCTCCCTTAGTTGCTGCTGCTGCTGCTGCTGCTGCTGCTGCTGCTGCTGCTGCTGCTGCTGCTGCTGCTGCTGCTGCTGCTGCTGCTGCTGCTGCTGCTGCTGCTGCTGCTGCTGCTGCTGCTGCTGCTGCTGCTGCTGCTGCTGCTGCTGCTGCTGCTGCTGCTGCTGCTGCTGCTGGTACTGCTGGTGCTGCTGGTACTGCTGGTGCTGCTGGTGCTGCTGGTGCTGCTGGTGATGCTGGTGCTGCTGGCGCTGCTGGTGCTGCTGGTGCCGCTAGTGCCGCTGGTGCTGCTGGTGCTGCTGGTGCTGCTGGCGCTGCTGGTGCTTCTGGTGCTGCTGGTGCAGCTGGTGCTGCTGGTGCCGCTAGTGCTGCTGGTGCTGCTGGTGCTGCTGGTGCTGCTGGTGCCACTGCAGCTGGTGCTGCTGGTGTGCCTGGTGCCACTGCTGCTGCTGCTGCTGCTGCTGCTGCTGCTGCTGCTGCTGCTGCTGCTGCTGCTGCTGCTGCTGCTGGTGCCACTGCTCCTGTTGGTGCCACTGCTGCCGTCCCGACTGATGTCCCTGCCTCCGCTGTTTCCACAGCCGCCTTCCATGCTGTGTTGCTCCGTCTGCTTCCCCACCCAGTGCGGGGTGTGCATCGGTTGAGCCCTGACCCCATCCAGTGCGTGGTGTGCATCGGTTGAGCCCTGATCCCACCCAGTGCGGGGTGTGCATCTGACCCCAGCACAAGTGACTCAAGAGCCACCAAAAGTGCTGGGATCTCTTGAGTGCTGATGGCCATTGCAGAGTGCCCATCTGTCAAACCCTGACCCCAGCCCTTGACACAGATGCACCAGTGTGTCTGCTTCCCCCTGTTCCCATCACAGGTATCACCAATAGTGCCAGCACTTGACACGCGCTCCCGCTTCCCCTCTAGGTGCCTAGGACCTCCGACCCTTGCACTTGATCCACGCTCCTGCCTCTCCTCCAATCCTTTCTGATTCTGAGGCGCCTCACTACTGCTGACCCAGCACTTGACACAGATGCACCGGTTCTGCTTCCCCCTGTTCCCATCACTGGTATCACCAATACTGCCAGTGCTTGATACGCGCTCCCGCTTCCCCTCTTGGCGCCAAAGCCCTCTGAAAATTGCACTTGATCCACGCTCCTGCCTCTCCCCCGATCCTTTCTGATTTTGAGGCGCCTCAAAACAGGTTCCTGCTTCGCCTGCTGGTTCCTTGCTGCTGACCCCAGCACTTCAAATAGGTTCCTTGCAGCTGGCCTCACCACTTCAAACAGGTTCCTGCTTTGCCTGCTGTTCCTGTTTCTGTTTCTGTTTCTGTTGTTGTTGCTGTTGCTGCTGCTGTTGAAGGTTTCTCGGCAATTGACTAATCCCCCCAGAGCCAGCACCTGTTAGAAGCTGCTGGATCTGAGCCTGCAGCTCCTCTGTTGTTTGCACCTGAGAAACCACCTGAAGCTTCTGGGCTTGCTGGTGCCACTGCTGCTGTTGCCACTGCTGCTGCTGCTGAGGCTGCTGCTGCTGCTGCTGCTGCTGCTGCTGCTGCTGCTGCTGCTGCTGCTGCTGCTGCTGCTGCTGCTGCTGCTGCTGCTGCTGCTGCTGCTGCTGCTGCTGCTGCTGCTGCTGCTGCTGCTGCTGCTGCTGCTGCTGCTGCTGCTGCTGCTGCTGCTGCTGGTAGTAGTAGAGCAGCTGCTGCTGCAGGCTCGGCTGCTGTTCTAGCTTCCGCTCCAGAACCCTCTCCACCACCTGGTCTTGCCTCCCTGAATTCTCCTCCATGGCTTGACGCCCCATGTGCTGAGCTTTTATTGGCGCCTCAAAAACAGCCACATGCTGTATCCCCCCTGATCTCTCCCCCATTGCCTGACACCCCACCTGCTGCACTTGAGGCGACTCAAATGCTGAACCCTCCCCCACGGCTCGAGGAGGCCCCATCTGCTGTGCACCCCTGGAAGGACGAGCCAAGCCACCTGTGACATCCAACAGACCCGCTCCCACCAACCCTGCCCCGCCCATCAACTCACCGCCACCTGTTGTGAGTCCACATCCCGTCAAGTCACCACCACCTGTCGAGACCCGACCCGTTGAGACACCACCTGTGGAAACCCCACCTGCCGAGATCCCACCTGACGAGATCCCACCTGTCGAGATCCAAGCTGTCGAGATCCCTCCTGTCGAGACCCCACCGGCCCACGAGCCCCCTCCTCCGAGCAAGCCTGAACGGTGGGAGAAATGCTGCGCTGCTGCACTGCCACCCAGTGACGGGGACCTACTATTACCGGAGTTGAGAGGTGCAGTGATGTCAGCATCTAACGTCTCTGAACTGAGAGGTAAACTGAGTCCAGTCTCTACTGTCATTCCCGTAGCAGCGCCACTCACGCTTGCTAGTCTACTGCCCAGATTCTCCCCCGGAGGCTGGCTTAATCCTAGCTGTTGATCCATGCCCATGTTAAAGCCTAGGGATTGTGTAGACAACAAACCTGTTGATCCCAAACCTCCCAGGGCTGAGTCATTAGAACCTGGAATTGGGCTTGCCTGCAGCTCAGAAGTGAAACTTAGGGATTGTCCTGACCTCCACTCTTGACCTAGGGATTGTCTTGGGATAAGCAACTGATCTAGGCCTGCAGTTGCGCATAAGCTGCGGCCGAGATTGAACCCCAACACGGATTGGCTTAATCCCAACCCTTGATCTTGCCTTGAGGGTTGGATGGATCCCAGCCCTTGATCAAGCTTTGATGATTGGATTGATTGCAGACGTTGTTCAAGCCCTGATGATAGGCTTGAGTGTGCTCCTTGATTCAGCAGCAGCTCACCAATCAAAGCACCAGAATCAGTCTGCTGCTGCTGCTGCTGCTGCTGCTGCCTGTTGTGGTGGTGGTGCTGCTCGTTGTGGTGCTTGTGCTGGTGCTGCTGCTGATTGTGGTGGTGGTGGTGGTGGTGGTGCTGCTGCTGCTGCTGCTGCTGCTGCTGCTGCTGCTGCTGCTGCTGCTGCTGCTGCTGCTGCTGCTGCTGCTGGTGGTGGTTGTTGTGGTGCTGCTGCTGCTGCTGCTGCTGCTGCTGCTGCTGCTGCTGCTGCTGCTGCTGCTGCTGCTGCTGCTGCTGCTGCTGCTGCTGCTGGTAGTGGTGGTGGTGGTGGTGGTGTTGCTGCTGCTGCTCCTGCTGCTGGTTGCGGTGCTGCTGCTCGTTGTGGTGCTGCTGGTGCTGGAGCTGGTGCTGCTGCTGCTGCTGCTGCTGCTGCTGCTGCTGCTGCTGCTGCTGCTGCTGCTGCTGCTGCTGCTGCTGCTGCTGCTGCTGCTGCTGCAGGGACTGAGGCTGAAGAAGCATCTCCGCAATCGTCCAAGGCTGGCTGACTCTAGCCCCCTCTGCGCTTGCAGGTGCTGCCACTCCTTCCACCCTCTCCCTCAGCGCCGCTCCTTCCACCCTCTCCCTCAGCGCCGCTTCTTCCACCCTCTCCCTACATGATGCCGCGAACTGTTGCAACTCACTTTGCGCGAGGACTTCCAACAGTCTCTTGTGCTGCAGCAGCAAAGGATTTGCCAGATCGGGTTGGGTCCGCACCCTTGCTGTGGCTGGAGCAGCAGCAGCATCAGCAGTGGCGGCAGCAGTGGCAGAAGCTGCAGCAGTGGTGGTAGCAGTAGTGGTGGTGGTGGCATCAGCACGACAGGCACTAGAGACAGGAGCAGCCGCCGCACCAGCAGCAGCAGCAGCAGATGCAGCTGCACCAGCAACACTACTAGGTGCAGCAACCGCAGCAGCAGAAGCAGAAACAGTAGGGCCACCTGTAGAGTGACTGATAATGCTGCTGCGTTCCCTGTGGATACCACTAGGATATAGCTGTGACTGCTGCTGCTCCCTCTGCTGCTGCTGCTGTGGCTGGTGTTGTTGTCGTTGTTGCTGCTGCTGCTGCTGCTGGTGCTGCTGCTGTTGCTGCGGCTGGTGTGGCTGGTGCGGCTGATCACTTTTCTGCGATAAGGCAATTTGCTGCCCATTCAGGCCCTGCTGGCACCGCTGCTGCTGCTGCTGCTGCTGCTGCTGTTGCTGCTGCTTCCTCTTTCGCTTCTTGTCATAGACTATTCCCCGAGCCTTCTCCTGCTGCTCTCTTACTTCACGCAGGTAAAACCTCACCACACTCCCACCAATGGGGTTATTCTCCAATCTACCCCCATTTTCTTCATACGCTGCCCGGAGCCGGCCAATTAGCGAATCCAAGCTCCCCCAGGCCTGTTTCGCCGGGCAGGTGCAGGTGTGGGCCCCACTGGAGCCAAAAGCCGGGCAGCTGAAATGATGGATCTTGGTCTTGCCGAATTGGTCAAGGTGTTGCATGAAAGAAATGACGTGGTGCGACGAGCAGTGGGAAATGGACACGGGGGGTCTATGGCTCTTTAGGTACTGTGTAAACGCGAGCCAGTCTCGGTTCTTCTGCAATTCGTATCGCCTGGAATGCGCCCTTTTTCCGCTCTCCGGTGACAAGGTACTGTCCCCCCTTCTTCCCTCTCCTCTTCCCTCTCCTCTTCCCTCTCCTCTTCCCTCTCCTCGTCCCTCCCATCTTCCCTCTCCCCTTCCCTCTCTTCTTCCCCCTCCTCTTCCTTCGCCTCTTCCCTTTCTACTGCCGTCTCCTTGTTCCTCTTTTATTTCCTCTCCAATACACTCTCTTTTCCTAGTGCTTCCATCCCCAACGGTACCAGCACCACTACCATCAGCAGCAGCAGCAGCAGCAGCAGCAGTACCACCACCAAAACCACCACCACCACAACCATCAACACCACCACCACCACCAACACCACCACCGCTGCTACCTCCTGCCTCATTCTCTGAGGACTCCTCTTCCCCTGCCTCATTTTTCACTTCCCCCCATCTCTCACTCCCATCCCCTCCCATTTCTCCTCCTCCCTTTCCTTCCACTCCTCCCAATCCTGCTCACTCTTACCCCCTCACTTTCCTCACTTTCTCACGCCTGCTAGCAGCGTCGCTTAAAGCCTGTGCTTGAATTCCCCGGCTTATTACTACGCCAGAAGCTTTACTATCTATGTCTTCCGGACCTCCCAACAGCGGTTTTTTGTTTTGGTTTTTTGGAATGACTTGCAATTAGAGCAACAACGTTGTGCTACGTTTCTCGAGGCAGCAGTACACAGGCAGAGCAGAGCCTGTGTGAGGAGTGAGGAAACAAGCTAGAAGCAAGTAAGGTTCGGATTGGGCTAGATTTCAGGCTGGCCCGCCTCTGGAGCTCCGAGCTCATGATGTACCCCTTGAGATGGTTGTACAGTTCCCAGCCGAACCGATGTGCAGAGGGACTCCAGTTTTTCTTCCTACCACTACTGTACCTCCTCTGGGATGCCTTGTTCTAGGAGTTCTTACACCAGGTTGGATAATCAAGTGGCTGGTACTGTACTGACACTGAGGAAGGGATTGAAATGAAACGGCGCTGCTTTGCGCATTGCACTCCTGTACCAATTCTGTCACATCTTGTTCAGCAGAAAAACAGGTGGGACTATAGGCGCCCCCCTGTGGCATTTTGCAGTCCTTGTAGCAGTGCGATATCGGGCAGCTGAAGAAAAAATACAACCGCGCTGGAAGCTGCTGAGGTCCATCCTAAAACGAGAGTGACGACACGCGACGCGAAACAGAAGCATTCAACCAGTGCCTTCTAGCTGAACATCTTACAGCACAGTCCAGTACACTCGTAAATAACATCACCCACCTGCACTGTGCTGGGCAATAGCAGCCTCATGATGGTTGAGGCGGGAAGGAACAACAAGAAGGGCAGATCATCTGACTCCAGCAAAACAAAATGGCTAGCCGACAGCCAGGAGGAAAGCGCCCAGGGCGTGCCCTAAGCGTACGTCCGAATGCGGTTGAGTAAGGTGAATTGTGTTTCAGAAAGTTGAACTAGCTCTGTAAAACGGTTCGGTAGGGTATTGGCCGAAACGAACGCTTACATGCCCTTAGAAAAGCGACGGAGGAGATGGAGTCATCAAGTGGCTGATGCACATTTCGCCATCTCGCTGATACAGTATACGTGGTAATGCACTGTACCATAATGCGGCACTGTACGCGTTACAGTACTGTATCATACTGCGGCAGCAAATGGAGGCTTCAGGCAAGCGATCTGTGCAGTCCGCCATTTTGTGCACACAATGCTTTGGAGTTTCCATTGCATGGCCTTCAAATCGCCAAAATGCCTTGAAAATGTCAAAGCTGAGACAGTGTCACCTCTAGGTAAAGCTCTGTTCTGTCTGTGAGACAAGCCCTTCTTCTAGCCCTAGAAAATTCGTGGCAAACGAACGGGCAGGTTTAGGGGCCATGCCAGAGTTGTTCTGGACACCGTACTTCGCTGTAGGGTTTGTGTTTTTGATCTAGATTGGGATACCTCTGGGCTGACCAAGGACTTCGGGTACGTAGCCTCGAGATTTTCCTGCGTTTCGTTTCGTTCATGAGTCTGGTCAGCCCGCTGCTCACGGCTCGCTTCTCATCTGTGGCGTCTACTTTGTGGCAAGTTTCGGCAAGTTTTTTAACGGTCACAATTGAAGAAAAGGAGATTTTATATGATCCTGAACGTTGAAAGAGGCAGATGGAAAACTTGCCACAAAGTGTGCCACAGGCGAGAAACACGCCTTAAGTTGAAGTTTCAATGCGGAGAGCAAAAATGGGGAGGGTCTGCCGCAATCCACTCAGTTCTGATTTCGATGCCAGCCCAGAACGCATCGTATCGGCATTTGGGAAGATTTCGCCAGCTCACACAACCACACATAAGGTGATGTTTGCTGCAGTGTAAACCGCGTAAAAAGGAGGATAAATTTTGAAGACTATGTTTTCCTGTTTGCCGCAATCAGGGCTAAATCAGAATAGCCCCAGAAGGAAGTGCCCTCAATAAAAATTCGTCCCTAGGTTATCAAAAGCTGCACGGTCAGCGAAGTTTCGAATAAAGTAAACCAGGTGCGTTGAAAATAGTATCGTTATGAAGTTCAAAACCCACAGCCCCAGCTATGAATGTGACAAAAGTAGCAGAAATTCTTGTTGCCTAAATGGTATGGACATTCAAGGTTCCAAACGCTTGGCATTTATCCTTCAAACGGAACCCAAGAACTAAATAACTTAGAGCTAATTTATCCTGAGACGGTACAGACACATGTAACGATAATTTCTGTTAACTCTCAATAGTACGAGGACGAAATGCCTTGCTTGCGGCGTGGCTTTTCAGGTGCTCCCTGTTGCTGTCGCATCATAGCGGCAAACTCCTCGTAGTCGATTGTGCCGCTCTGGAAGAAAAGCAGAGGGAAAAGCGACAGGGAAAGGGCAGGAGAAGTGAGTTGTGCAGAGCAGCTTGTTATGACAGCCCCATACCTTCTCATACCTTCCACCCCGTGCCATCCTCATCACATACCCATGCCCACGTCACGTTATCACATGCCATGTGCCATAATAATTCTCAGGTCAACTCACCCCATCAGTGTTGAGAAGTTTAATTATCTGCTCAATGTCGCCCAGCTCCAGCATGCCCTCATTGCCATGCCCCTACCATGCCCTCGTTGCCATGCCCCTCCCATGCCTTCATTGCCATGCAGTCACATGTGAACACTGACCACAGACTGCCACCACCCCATCAACCCACCCTGTCGGTGTAGACTTGCTCAATGATCTGCTCAATATCCCCCGGCTCCAGCATACCCTGAGCCCGCCCGCATTGCCAATATGCACGCCCTGTGCTTCCAGTCACACACCCTGTGCCCCGTCACACACCCTGTGCCCCCAGTCACACGCCCTGTGCTTCCAGTCACACACCCTGTGCCCCGTCACACACCCTGTGCCCCCAGTCACACGCCCTGTTTCCTCATTCCTCACCCTGTCGGTGTCGACTTGCTCAATGATCTGCTCAATATCGCCCGGCTCCAGCATGCCCTCATCCTCCAGCGCTTCCCTCAGCTCCTTCACTGTGATCGTGCTGTCAACGGGTTGGTCAAGGGGTTTGGGGAAGGGGAGGAGGGGGGGGGGAAGGGTGGTTGTGGTGAAAAGGGGTAGTGACGAGAGCGTGAGGGACGAGGGAGAAAGCTTCGAGGCTCCAGCATGCCCTCATCATCCAGCGCTTCCCTCAGCTCCTTTACTGTGATCGTGCAGTCAAGGGGTTTGGGGAGGAGGGGGGTAGGAGAGAAAGGGTGGTGGTAAGAGTGTGAGGGATGAGGACGTGGTGCTCCTTCCCCACGCTGTTCATCTGCATCGTGGCCTGCACTGCACTGCACCCTGCCTCCCATTATGCCCAAGCACCTGTCTGATCTCTGCTCAGCACTCACCCGCTGCCGTCCTTGTCAAAGTGCTTGAAGGCGGCGAGGATGTGCTCCTCCTTCTCGACGCTGTTCATCTGCATCGTTGCCGTGATGAACTCAGTGTAGTCGATGGTGCCGCTGTTGTCCACGTCAGCCTGAAGAAAGCCGGTGTGGGGGGGAGGGCGGAAGTACGGGGGGTCAGAGAGGGGGGAGGGGGAAGAGGGAACAGGGGGGCAGGGAGGGGATGGGGTGTGAAGCTCTGGAAGGCTGTGAGAGGATGTGCTCCTCCTTCTCGACACTATTCATCTGCATCGTTGCCGTGATGAACTCACTGTAGTCGATCGTGCCGCTGTTGTCCACGTCAGCCTGAAACCAGACAAGGGGGGGGTGTGAGGGTGTTGGGAGGCGCATTGGGGGGGGGGGTCGGGGAGGGGAGAAGGCAAGCAAGGTGGAGGGGGAAGGGGGGGAGGAGAGGGGATGACGTGGGGAAAGCGGGTGCTTGAAGGGGTGCTTGAAGGGGTGCGGAAGACAGGGATGTGCTCATCCTTCTCCACTTTTGAGGCGCCTTAAAAAAATAGACTCCTTCTCCACGCTATTCATCTGCATCGTTGCCGTGATAAACTCAGTGTAGTCGATCTGCCACTGTTCTCCACGTCAGCCTGACCAGACCATCCGGGAGGGGGGGAGGGGAGGATGGACAGGGCAGGGAGGGGAGGGAGGGGGGGGCTGATAGGGGAGCAAAGATGGCGGAAGGGAGATGGGGGAGGGGAGATGGCGGAGGGGAGATGGCGGAGGGGAGATGGCGGAGGGTAAAGCTCTGGATAGCAGAAAACAAATGGGAATTAGACCAATTGCACCCGAATCAAATTGAGATGAACCAAGGGTCCTACTTGCCACCTACGTGACCTGCTTTAGCTGGTCCGGCGGGATGGGGCTGCCCAGCCTGCACATGCCCCCCCAGAGCTCGTCGCCCGTGATGCTGCTTCAATCCTAGCTCGATACGGTGCAACGCACACGCCAGTTAACAAATCCCTCTCACCGCCTCCATGATCTGCTGCAGCTGGTCCGGCGGGATGGGGCTGCCCAGCCTGCACATGCCCCCCCAGAGCTCGTCGCCCGTGATGCTGCTTCAATCTACCTCCATAAGGCGCAGCACACACACGCCAGATAGCCAAAATTGCTCACCGCCTCCATGATCTGCTGCAGCTGGTCCGGCGGGATGGGGCTGCCCAGGCGCCGCATGCCCTCTCTGAGCTCATATCATAGGTGATCCTGCGTTGATCCAGCCCAACAGGGCGCAGCACACGCCAGTCAGACAGCACCACTCACCGCCTCCATGATCTGCTGCAGCTGCTCGGGCGGAATAGGGCTGCCCAGGCGCCGCATGCCCTCTCTGAGCTCGTCGTATGTGATGCTGCCGCTGCCGTCCTTGTCCATCTCCTTGAACATCTTCTTCAGCCCCGAGATCTCCTCGCGAGACAGGTTGCATGCCACGACCTGATCAAAAGAGGGGAGCGTGGCGAAGCATGGGCCGAGGGGGCATAGGGGTTGTTATCGCTGCCGTCCTTGTCCGTCTCCTTGAGCATCTTCTTCAGCCCCGAAATCTCCTCGCGAGACAGGTTGCATGGCACCACCTGATGCAGGCAGTGGACAAAGGAAGGGGGGGAGGGGGGTTGAAAGGAGTCAGGAGGGAGGGAAAGAGAAGTTGAGGAAGAGGTTTCACGTCCTTGTCATCACGAGACGGGAGTTGCATACTACCAAGTGAGACAGGAGACGGGTGGCGGGGGGAGAGGGGGAAAGGGGGAGGGAGGGGAATGCGCGGGTTGTGAATGGTGACGGTAAGAGAGATTTGGGATGTTCAAGCCCAAGGGGTAAACGTTGATGGTAGAGTGCGTTGCGAGGCAGCAATTCTGAGTTTATTTTGAGTCGACTCTAAGAGAGATTTGATATGTTAAAGCCCAAGGGATAAACGTTTTCCATTTGGGATTTTCATTCTCCATCCTCGTCCCCTCTTTAGCCATCTTCCTCCGTTTGGTTCCCCAAGACGCTCATGAAGCACCGTAGCACTCAAAATAGCACCTAGAGCGCAAGCTTCTTCATCTAGTCGGCGGCGCTGGACCTCTGAATGCGCTTGTATGTCTCTCATACTTGCGTCATACACCTGTACACCTTTTGAGTCGACTCGCCAACACACCTTTGATCCTCATAAGCCCACCTGGAGACACGCACAATCGCACCTTGACACACGAGATCGCACCTCAAGCCTAATACGCACACTCATCGACCCACCCACCTTGAGCGCGAGCTTCTTCATCTTGTTGGTGGCGCTGGACCTCTGAATGCGCGTCACTGTCTCGCACGCATGCCTCATTTTCCCGCACTTTTCTGACGCACTCACGAACGCACATAGCGCCTCCACACACTCATCGAGCCACGCACCTTGAGCGCGAGCTTCTTCATCTTGTTAGCAGCGCTGAACTTCTGGATGCGCTTCAGCACAGCAGCGCCCAGCGGCTTGTCCGACGCCTTGTCCGCCGCCACCCACGGATGGCCTGTCGGGAGAAAGGGGAGGAGGGGGGGAGGTGGGGGAAGAAGAGGGGGAAAAGGGGGGGGGTTGGAGGAGGGGGGGGGGGGGGAGAGAGAGGGGGAAAGGGAGGGAGGAGGGAGTAGGGGGCACTCAGAGGCAGCAGCAGGCATCGGCTCACAGGCACCTATCAAGCACTCACGGAGAGCATCGGCGGCGCTGATGCGCTTGAGCGGGTCGAGCGAGAGCATGCGGCGGATGAGGTCCTTGGCGGCCAGCAACTCACGCACACAGGAGTCAGCTGGTACTACAGTCTGCTACTACAGGAGTCAGCACTACAGTCAGCCACTTACGGAGGGCGTCAGCAGCGGAGATGCGCTTGAGCGGGTCGAGCGTGAGCATGCGGCGGATGAGGTCCTTGGCGGCGTCGCTGATGTGCGGCCACGGCTCGCCCGTCAGGTCGGGGTTGCCCTTGAGCACCGCGTTGAAGATCTGCTTCTCCGTCGCTGGGGGGTGGGGGGAGGCGCAAGGAGACAGTGGATTGGGGGGGCTAGGAGCGTCGCTGATGTGCGGCCACGGCTCTGCCTGTGAGTTCAGGGTTGCCCTTAAGAACAGCATTGAAGATCTACTTCTCCGTTGCTGGGAGGGAGAGGGGGAGGAGAGGGGAATGGGAGAGGGAGAGGGGAAAAGGTGATTGGAGGGCCTACGAGCGTCGTTGGTGTGTAGCCAGGGGTTGCCCGTGACGTCTTGGTCAATCGAACGGCGAACAATGTGCACCTGCAGATACGCGAAGAACGGGCATCCATAGAAGGGCGGAGCGGCGCTGAGGAGAATGTAGAGGATGACGCCGCAGCTCCACACGTCCGACTCCTTGCCGTACTTTCCCTTGAGCACCTCCATAGTCGTCTCGCTGCATACATCGACAAAAAGCGTGCAACTCACATCCATAGAAGGGCGGAGCGCCGCTGAGCAGGATATAAAGGATGACGCCGCAGCTCCACACGTCCGACTCCTTGCCGTACTTCCCCTTCAGCACCTCCGGCGCGACGTAGAACGCGCTGCCGACCGTCTCCGTAAACACCTCGCCGTCCTTAAAGAACACCGACAGGCCGAAGTCCGTCACTTTAAGCGGCGCGTCCTCACGCTTGTTCGAGAGCAGGAAGTTCTCGGGCTTTAAGTCCCTATGGATGATCTTCTTCTGGTGGCAGTAGTCCACTATGGAGAGGATGGTTTTGACGAGGCCCGACGCGGCGCGCTCGCTGTAGTGGCCGCGCGCCGCGATGCGGTCGAAGAGCTCGCCGCCGCCGCAGAGCTCCATGACGATGTGTACGTTCTGCTTGTCCTCGAACGCGCCGCGGAGGGTGACGATGTTGGGATGGCCGGCGAGATGGTGCATGATGGCGATCTCCTTCCTGAAAGGGGGGGAAGGGGGGGGAGGAGGAGGGGGGGGAGGGGGGCGGAGAGGAAGGGAGGGAGGGGGGGATGGCGAAGGGCAGGAAAAATGCGGCTGTTTATACAGCAGAGAAGAGACTTGGTTGACCACCCCTTTCGCCGCAGAGCTCCATGACGATGTGCACGTTCTGCTTGTCCTCGAACGCGCCGCGGAGGGTCACGCTGTTGGGATGGCCCGCCAGGTGATGCATGTTGGCGATCTCTTTCCTGAAATCGCGGAGCGGGGAAGCGGAAGAGAGGACGGTGACGGAGGGAGCGGGCGGAGGGGGGAAGCGGAGGGGGAAATGGCGAAAGGAAGGAGGATTAACGTGGACGTGTAAAACGGGACTGTCATAGAAATGGTTTATCACCCCTTTTCGGCGAAGGTTCGTGACGATGTGCCGAAAAGGGGTGATCAAGCATGCTCTACGTTTACGATGTTGAGATGGCTGGCGAGATGATGCATGACGGCGATCTCCTTCCTGAAATTGCGGAAAAAAAGAACGGGAAAAACAGGAGCGGATGAGAGAGAGAGAGTAAGCAGGTTCCGGGACAATTGGAGATTGACGTGGATGCGTGAAATGGCTTGTCAGTAAATGTGTTAACGGGAGTGGGAGTAAAAATGAGCGTTCACCGGATTCGGAGCCGCAGAAGCAGGCACATGGGGGAAATAGGGGACGCAGAAGGGAAGAGAGCATTCCGCGCGAGATATTTGAGGAAAACGCCGAGAATTTCGAAGAGATTTCCATTGATGTTTCATTAATGTTCCATTAATGCGGTCCCTACCATAGGCAGGCTACAATCTATGGTAGCTTTTTTATGAATGTGGAACGCCTACCTGACGTCGAAAAGCCCATTGGATGTCTTAAAACAGCAATGACGATGAGAAGCAAGATAACAAGCTGTTACCTGATGTCCTCGACCTCCTCCTTGGTTGACAGACGACGCTTCGCGATGGACTTGCACGCGAGCTGCTCCCCGGTCTTCTTATCCGTGCACAGATGCGTCACGCCGAACTGTCCTTTCCCCAGCTCCTTCCCCATCACGAAATGGTCACTGATTTCAGCCGGCGGCCGGTTGAGGATGTTGGCCGTCAGCGTCTTGTTCGATTTCTTAAACATCTTGGCCGCGGGAAGTGCGGTCGGGAAGGAAGGTAATAAATAATATCTGGGAAGAACGGTCAGAGATCTGTAGAGTTTCCCAGATACAGTATTACTAAAGAGAAATATGGGATTGCAGGGACTTCAGTTACCAGCAGGTAGGAAGTGAAATGTATGTGACACTGAAAGGTGGAGAAATATGGAGGGAAGGGAGGGAGAGAAGAGAAGGAAGGTGGGGTGTCTGGTCTGGTCTGTTCCCCGCGGGGGCTCTGCGGGGCGGAGTTTGTTTGCGGAGGATGATGGATGGATAAGGGGGTGAAATATCCCTCCGGGCAGATGAAAGCCCTACCTTGCTGGAATGTTTAATCATTCCTAGTCAAATAGGAGTTTCGGCTTACCGATCAATCAGGCTTTGCCCAAAATTCGAAGGGAATGCCTGTTCAGCAAAGTTTTCAGGCAGGTGCCCCATTCTCTGGATGGCGCGGGGTGGCTTGGCCACGCGTTTGCCGTTGGTGTGCGAGATTCTGCGCAGTACAGTACAGTACACGTCTTGTGATGTGAGAAGAGGGGGTGCATTCTGTCCGACATGGCTGTGGCGAGATTTGGCCGCCTCAGTCCTCTCCCTGACACGGACGCACAGCAGCTCCCCTAAAAGTGAGGCCAGTCCAGATATTGAGGCGTGCAGTTCGTCAGTTCCGCGTTATGCTGGGTACAGCTTGTTCGAAGCTAAGTTCCTGTTGAGTTATCACGCATTATAGGCTAGGTTTCAAGGCTAGGTGCGCTGTAGAGCAGTTTAGGTGCCCTGTGCAACCTGCTAGGTGCATACCCCTAAACTTGATGCGCACTCAACCTGTGTCGATTCTAGTACCACACCAACACACCCCTAATGCACGTTACCCATCTTTCTGTCTAGGTAGTTAGCAAAAAGGAACCTGTCGGTATTTGACAAGTGTTCAATTTCTAGAAACCTTGAGGGGTTCACTTGCCTGAAGCATTTGCCCGAACTGCTTTGGCATCGTCAAATGCAAGGATCAAGATCAAAGAGCATAGGTATTCAATCAATGCCACCATTCCTGTGGAGGAAAATGGCCTCAATAAAGAATCGAGCTAGTTACACTGGATGTGGAGTGCTGTATCCTATGCCCAGTGAGCTTGGAGTAACAGAACACCCTGCGTTTACTTCTTCCATTTGGGCTTCTGCTCACAAAGAACGATACAACGGAAGCCTGGGGTTTAGTAGAGTCAAACCATACGGGGATGTGAACATGAAGATTTCATAACAACATTTCTGGAAGTGGTGAGTGCGGAAGGAGGCATGACACAGCAGGAAAGATACCTGAGCAGGCTTCTTCACAGACTTGGACTGCGTCCCAGCCTTGCCACCCTCCTTCAGGTTCACGAGGGCTGCTCAACCGAAGTATAAATGAAAGGAGAAAGATCGGAGAATTATTACTGATTCCTACGCCAGTGCGGGAGAGGCAGATGCAATAAAGATATGTATATTGGGTAAGACGCGCGAATGCATACAATACAAAGAGTGAAAGGTGGAGGAATGCAGCATCATGTACGACATGAAGCGAGACGAGCAGAGGACGGTTACGACGGAAATATGCATGTCCAAAAGAAACGGGACTGGATGTGAAGATCCAGATGACACAGAGAGATTCCTGCACTATCTACTCTGTTCTCCGACGTACTCGAGTCAGTCTCGGTCCACGACACCCGCTTCACGGCGGCGTTGTCGAGCCAGTCGAAGAAGGACTCCTCCTGCTTGCCCTTGGCCGCCAGGACCATAGGGGTCATGCTCATGGAGATAGCGGCCATGGCTGCACGTGGAGTGGGTAAGGAGGAGGCTGAGGTGGAAGCCTGTGAAGACAGGAAGAAGCTGGTTACTAGATCGGGGGAAGCACAAGCAGGCTGCAAAGCAAGAAAGGGGGAGGAATGGCAGGTGATGGAAGTGGGTGGGGCGTGGAGAGGCTGCAGGGAACCCGTGGAGGTGTTGTGGCGGAATGAGGAGAGAGGGTAATGGGTAAGGTGACTTGTAACCAGAACGAAGGAGTGGTGGGCGAAATCTCGTCGACCACACGAACTAGCTGAGCATTGTAATCCAGTAACACGATCGAGATACAAACTAGGCCACGTCAGACAAGCTCTGACTTTGTGCCAGCTTGGCTGGATAGGGGTCAACCACAAACGCCGCCGCATCAGCAAAGGCAGATCTATCTGAAAGCGGTCGTACCTTGTGCCTAGATAAATTCCAGGTTACACGTTGCACGCGATATGGCTAGCCCGTACGGAGCACGTAATACATCTCAAGTGGGCTGCCAGATTCATATACATAAAACTCTACAACAAAAACAACGGATTACGCCAGCCCAACAATAAATTGTACAAATGCTAGTTAACACATAAGCCACTGTGAGGAAGATAAAAAGGTTAGTACTTGCACAACCTCACTCATTATTGGCCTTTTGAATGGATCATTCACCAGGCACCATCTTGCCAACTCCGCCACCTTCGCAGCTGCTTGCTTGGGGTACTTGTCCCCCAATCTAGGATCCATAATCTTGGAGAGATCCGCACTGTTGTGTAAGTACGGCCGAGCGAATTGAACTATATTGATTTCCGGCAAGGGGCGGCGTTGATCGATGGAAGGCCGTCCTGTGAGAAGCTCCAGAAGCACGACCCCGAACGCCCACACATCATTTTTCGGTGTCAACCGGCCCGTCATCATGTACTCTGGGGCAGCATACCCTGCCGTGCCGCGCACCTGTCGGGTGTAGAACCGGTAAGAATATCGATACAGAAAACTAGAGTCAGCTGCGCGACAGGAAGGCAATAATAGCCGCACAGGCTCAGGAGTTTTGAGAGGCGCAGAGCAGAAACTGCAGCTCTTTGTCCATGACAATCCTACCACACTCACTCCTATTTTCCTGATCTTTCCTGTTTTACCAAATCACCCCATCTTCCCCCATCTTGTCCCACCCGTTCTATTTTCCCCTACGTTCAGTTCCGTCACCTGTGTCGCCACGCGGGTCTCCTCCTGCATCAGCCCTTCTCTTGGCCCCGTGTCCCTTGTCCCTTCCCCCACCCGACTCCTCCCCACCTGTCTTTCCATGCCTCACCTGTGTTGACACGTGGGTCTTCTCCTCCATCAGCCCTTCTCTTCCCCTATGTCCCTTGCCCTTTCCCCCACCCCTCCCCGCTTGTCTTTCCAAGTCTCACCTGTGTCGACACATGGGTTTCCTCCCCCATCGGCCCTTCTCTTGCCAGCCCAAAGTCAGAGAGCTTTGGGCAGAAGTCCGCATCTAGAAGCACATTGGATGTCTTAAAATCGCGGTAGATGATCTGGGGGCGTGGGAGAGAAGGGGGAGAGAAGGGGGAGAGATGGGAAACGGGGGAGAAACACGGAGAAGGAAGAAGGAGGAAGGAAGGAAGGAAGGAAGGAAGGAAGGAAGGAAGGAAGGAAGGAAGGAAGGAAGGAAGGAAGGAAGAAGAAAGGAAGGAAGGAAGGAAGGAAGGAAGAAGGAAGGAAGGAATAAAGATCAAAGAGGAAATCATAAGATCTTGGCAGATGATTTGGGTTGATGGGATGAAAGGGGAGACGTGGGACGAGAAACGAAAGGGAGGAGAGAGACGAGCTTGAAGCGGACATGCAGCATATCAGATACAGCACTTACTGATGGTCGCACCTACAGCACCCAAGGTTCAGCATTCACTGGTACCTGCACCTTTTCTTGTAAGTGGACCATCACCAGTGAATGCACCTTCCCTCACTCTCGCCGTCCCCAGTGCCACCTTGAGCCCAGTGATCTAACAAGCAGGAACTAGTGGTTGCACCACACACAGAAACACTTACGGGTGGTAGAACCACCAAGGAAGCAGCACGCACTCACCAGTACCTGCAGCCTAAGTTGGAATGTACGTGTTTTGCGTATAGTGCAATTGCGTATATACAAAAGCGTATCAACGCAATACGCTTAGGAGGAGGGGGTCGGGTACGCACAGAATACGGTGGCCTGGGCAGGGGAAGAAACCTTTTCGGGCAGGTGGAGGTGCGTGGTGCCTCAGCAGACGGGGAAGAGAGTGATGCCCTGTAGGACTAAAAGTCGTGGTGACGAGGAATCGACTAGAAGTCTAGGTAGGAAGGGAACTGCGAAAATGAGTATCGAATGTTGAAATGGCTGTAATTTATGCTTGGAGAGCTGACTCTGTTTGAGGCCAACTCGACGCAAGGAGGAGTTGGGAGGGATTGGGAAGCGACGAGGTGGAGTGGGGTGGACCGAGGTTCGAAGGGGGGGTTGATACGCTTAGGGTTCAAAACCCAAACTTGTCGCCCGATGTGCGAAAGTGAGAATCTTTTTGGACAAGTCGCAAAATGTCGCGATTATTTTTTTCCGGTCAGCCCATGCGTATTTCGGCGTATCTAGACCAAAAACGCTGTGTACGTATTTTCTGTGCGGTTGAACGCAGTACGCCATCAAGCTTGAGCGTTATTTCCAACTTAGCCTGCAGCTCTTCACCAAGTGCGCCAGCCCTCTCTCTCGGCATTCCCAGTGATTGCACTAGCAGCACACAGAGACGCAAGCAGCAGCAGCAGCAGCAGCAGCAGCAGCAGCAGCAGCAGCAGCAGCAGCAGCAGCAGCAGCAGCAGCAGCAGCAGCAGCAGCAGCAGCAGCAGCAGCAGCAGCAGCAGCAGCAGCAGCAGCAGCAGCAGCAGCAGCAGCAGCAGCAGCAGCAGCAGCAGCAGCAGCAGCAGCAGCAGCAGCAGCAGCAGCAGCAGCAGCAGCAGCAGCAGCAGCAGCAGCAGCAGCAGCAGCAGCAGCAGCAGCAGCAGCAGCAGCAGCAGCAGCAGCAGCAGCAGCAGCAGCAGCAGCAGCAGCAGCAGCAGCAGCAGCAGCAGCAGCAGCAGCAGCAGCAGCAGCAGCAGCAGCAGCAGCAGCAGCAGCAGCAGCAGCAGCAGCAGCAGAGCAGCAGCAGCAGAGCAGCAGCAGCAGCAGCAGGCCATCAAGGAAGCACTCACCGGTACCTGCACCTCCTCATGCGGGCACGCCAGCCCTCTCGACATTCCCCGTGCCACCTTGAGCCCAGTGATCGCACAAGCAGACACTAGTGGTTGCACCACACACAGAAACACTCAAAAGTGGTTGAACCACCAAGGAAGCACTCACCGATACGTGCACCTCCTCATGCAGGTGCGCCAGACCACCAAGCACAGACCGGCATTTCCACTTCCTCATGCAGGTGCACTAGCCCCCTCGCCGTCCCCAGCACCACCGTATACCCGGTGTTTCACAGGCAGTCAATTGCATACAAACAAAACACTCACTGGTGGTAGAGCCACCAAGCACTCACCGGTATTTCCACCTCCTCATGCAGGTGCGCCAGCCCCCTCGCCGTCCCCAGCGCCACCTTGAGCCGCGTCGCCCAGTCCAGAGGCGGCAGCACCGCCGCAACTGCTTTCTTTGAGTGCGAGTGGGAGTGAGAGGAGTGAGAGGAGTGCGAGGAGGTGGAGGCGGACGACGGATGCACACTCTGATGGTGGTTGCTCGAGCTCCGGTGGTGGCTGTTAGCATTGTTAGTAGCCGCGGCAGCGGCAGTGGTGGAGAGCGGTGCAAACAGGTGCCGGTCCAGGGAGGAGTTAGGAAGGTATTCATAGACTAGGAGACGGCGGTGGCCCTCAGCACAGAAGCCCAGGAGCTTGACGAGGTTAGGGTGGTCGATACAGCCTAGCAGCCGCACCTCCACCATCCACTCCTTGTGACCCTGGGCAAAGCAAGGGATCAAAATGAAAAACGGGGGGAAGGGGGGGAAGGGGAAGGGGGGGATTGAAGGAGGTATCCGTAGACTAGGAGCCGGCGGTGGCCCTCTGCACGGACACAGAATACGAGGGGTCGCGAAACTGCCCTGATGTGTTCGTGCTCCAAGATGCTACGTTCCAGCCATCCCGACGAGACATGGGCCATGGGGGACGGGTAGGGTGTTTTTGAGGCGCCTCATATGATGCTAGGTTCTAGCCGTCACGAGACATGGGCCATGGGGACAGGTAGGGGATTAGGGCATGTGGTGACGGTGGTTAAGGAAAAGCAGAGAGACATATGTGGGGCATGGGGAAGCATGGGGGGAAAGGAAATGGAGAGTGAATGCAACAAGGGGATGGAGACGGTGGGGAGGATTGGGGTGCGTGGGCGTATTTAGGGAAGTATTGTAACACGCATCCATCGCGATGGTAAGAAGGGGATAATGGCAGTGGGAGGGAACTGGGCGGTTGCGGTGGAGGGAGAGAGAGGTCAAGAGATGGGAGAGGTCGAGAGAAGGGAGAGGTCGAGAGAAGGGAGAGGTCGAGAGATGGGAGGGAGAGGTCAGGATGGTGAGAAGGGGGATAATGGCTGGCAGTGGGAGGGATCTGGATGGTCATGGTAAGGGGAGGGAGAAATTAACAGTGGAGTGCAAGGGGTCTTTCACCCTTTTGAGGCGCCTCAAAAATTAGCAGTGGAGTGCAAGGGGTCGTTCACCCTTCACTGCACGTGCGTTCACCAAAAAACACATAAATAAAAATCCAAGACAATCGCTTTATTGTTTGTGCCAAGCTTTGTGTCTCCTTCGCTGAGAGTCAAAACCTTGTCCCGTTCAAACCGTGCGTCCCCTTAAAGCCTGCTGCCCAATATTTCCATGCTTTAATCTGAAGCAGAACTACAGGAAAGACAGACACATAGATGCTGCTCGTTGTCCTCAACTTTCCCGCCCCTCCTCTCATCATTCCCTCTTCTCCACCAAACCCTAATTCATGCGCCTCCCCCAGCACGATGTTTCAGGCGCCTCAAAATTCGATTTTTGAGGCACCTAAAAAAACCCCCCCAGCAAACCTTGTTTGAAAAGCGCATCATAAAATCCATGCCTCACCTGAAGGGGATGAGGGCCCTTAGAAAGGGCCTCCATGCAATTAGAAAGGGCCCTTTCTTGGAGTTAGCTATCTAGTTGCCACCTTTTTCTGCCCCCTACCTGAGGATTCTTCTAGTTCTTATCTCTCTCCTGAAGGCTCATTATATTTCTTCATTTTCACCTGAAGGCTCTTCATATCTCGATATTCTCACCTGAAGGCTTTTCCTGTTTAACTGTCTCTCACCTGAAGGCTCCTTGCGTCCAGCTTCTTAATCGCCACCTCTTGCTGCAGCGCCCTCCGCCCTTCCCGCGAGACTACACCTGTTATCGGCTCGCTCACCTTGTATATATCTCTGACCTGGAGGCTCTATAGAAACTATTTTCCTCACCTGGAGGCTCTTTAGAAACTTTTTTTCTCACCTGGAGGCTCTTTGCGTCCAACTTCTTGATCGCCACGTCTTGCTGCAGCGCCCTTCGCCCTTCCCCCACCCCTCCGCCGTTCATCAACCCCCCAGCAGCGCCTCCCCCTCCTGTCGACTCCCCACCTGAGATTCCCGCAAGTGCCGCTGCGGCGCTTTCCAGCGCGCTACTCGCCGAACTCGCCGCCGCACTCCCATGCGAACTCCCCGACTTCAATACCCCTTTAAAGACCTTCCCGAACCCGCCGGCTCCTAGGAGCAAATCGCTCGAGAACCCCTTAGTCGCGGATTTTAACTCCGGATAGGAGAACACGCGAAGATCCGACCTTCGAAGCACGTCGTCAAGGAGCGTCAGGTCGCGCTGCATCGCACGGTCGTGAGGCCGCCTCGGCGTGCTTAAAGCGAGGGATTGATCGACTATGGTGCCTCCCCCCGCTGCTGCGTCTCCTCTGGTAGACTGCTGATCCTCCGCCGCCCCCGCCGCCGCTCCCCCTTCCCCCGACGTCCCCCCCGCCGCTGCAGCCGCTGCTGCCGTTCCGTTTCCGCCGCCGCCGCTACCGCTAGCCTTACCCTCCCCGGGCTTTGCGAGGGGAGAAGGCGAGTTAAGGCTCTGTGTGATCCGCAGCGCGAACGGATTCACGTTCGAGCCGCTAAACATTTGCACGGTCGAGGAACCCTTGCTGTTCCCGCCATTACCGCTGCTACCGCCGCCGTTACCGCCGTTGGAGCCTTTATGAGTAAAACCAAAATTAAAGGACCGGCTGTTACTGGCGTTGCCGCCGCCGCCAGGAGTGGCGGCAGCGAAGCCGCTGCCGCCGTTACTGGCATTCGCAGCGCTCCCCACTGCTGACGAGCTGTGGCTTCGTCGAACCTGCCTCTGCTGCTGCTGCTGCTGGGACTGCTGCGACTGCTGCCTCGGCGCGTGCGACGACGCCGGGCGAACAGGCGACGGAGAGCCGACTCCGTCGGCGGGCGACGTCCCCTGCGACCCACCGAGCGGTGACGGCGCGCGTAAGCCGCCAGGACTGCCTAACCCCAAAACGCTGTCGTGGCTCCTCCGGCCCCGTTGCCCCAACGGCGCATCGATACCCTCAGCATCTAGCTCGTCGTCTAAAGACTCCCCGCCTGTCCCGACCGAGTCGCCCCCAATAGACGCTCCTCGCGGCAAAGGCGGGGTGGACATCCCTGCCACGGACCCTGACAGGCTCCTAGGGACATTTTGGCGGGAAGAGGAGGAGGTACGGGACGGGAAATCGGCACACTGCGGCTGGTTATGCGGCTCGGAGATTCTTCTCTGGAGGAATCTTGACGCGGCGGAGGCGGGGGGGTCTTGGGTACGGGACGAGGGGGAACAGGAAAGGTTGTCATCCTCAACAGTGACATCTGCGAGAACGTCGCTTAGTGAAGGAGCGATTGGCGCGCGAGGGGAGGAGGTTAGGCTCTGAGGGTGGTGCGTTGGCGAGCCGAGGTAGTTAAAAAAGCGGCTTTTAGAAGGCGGGTGGCCTGAGGGGGTGCTACAGGCGGATGCGGGTGCAGATGTCGTCCCCCCTGCCACGTCATCACGCGTGGGATTACCGCCTAGTCCGAAACACTTCATTAGTCGTACCTACTAGGATGCGTGATTTACGCGTTATCGTGAATGCGCGCGAGGTTGCGTCCGGCTGATAGAGATGGCAAGGTTAGCGGAGAGTGCTGCAGAGAGATTATATCACGGTGATCAACGTAACGGCGATCAGGACACAGAATGGAACGCACGTGGCCGTTGTATGGGCTCAGGATGCGAGTCTATTTCTCAGGCGCCTAAGAAATACACGTGACCTTTCTATGGGCTCAGGATGCGAGTCTATTTCTCAGGCTCCTAAGAAATACACGTGACCTTTCTATGGGCTCATGATGCGAGGCTTTCGGCTCATCTCACCAAGTCTCGCAGGCTTCCACATGCAAAGCAAGGAACAAAAGCGTCAGTCAGAGCAAGGAAGTATTAGGTCTGGAACTGCTCTCCTTGGGACTTGAGTGAATATGCTTTCTGAGATAAGGCGTTCTGCGCGGTTCCCCCAGTGCCCACCCACCACAGAACTTGCGGCTTCAATTGCACGGTGTTGGTACAGTATTGTCCCTTGGGATTACATCACCCTCTCGGCATTCCCCTCCACACCACACCACACCACTCCATACCACCCCACCACACCACACTGCTCTGCCTACATTTCTTTGTTCCCGCGCAAACCAACCCCAAGGGAGCAGTGTATTCCCCAGGGGGGTGCCCTGAATCACTTCTTGACACTGCAGAGGGAGCGGAAGACGGATGTGGCGGCAGAGCTGGTGGCGGAGGCGCTGCAAGCAACTGCCTGCAGCAACCAACCAACGTGCCCCCGAATGTCGGCGGAGCAGCCTGTGACGGGGGAATCCGACAAGCGGAAGAGGAATCGGCGCAAGCATGCAACTGGCAGGGAGGAGCGGTCAGATCGGGTCAGCGAGGGAAGAGAGACTCCGTCAGATCTGGGCCGTCGGAAATAGAGAGCGCAACTCGATTGCAACTTCCCATTTTCTGGTTGCATACGATAGAGGAAACAAGTGGGTACGATGAACTTTTTCTAGGCTGCAAACAAAAAAACGTTTCTTGGGACAGCACTCCAACAAAGCGCAATTCTCTAAAACACTCTCGCTGTTGTACAGTTTGCGTTTACAGTTCGGTGTACAAGTTACAGCGCGATATTTCTTACACCTGGCCCGCTTTTTTTTCGACGAAGGTGCACCAAATCGCCAGTTATTGGCCATCCTTACCACCCACAAAGCCCTCGAGAAAAACATCGAGCATGTTCTCGTGAACTCCCCCTTCGGCAGCTGGCTGTTAACCCTGCCGTTCGGAATCCAGATCCAGCATACAAAACGTGAGGCCCAACTCCACGTGATGGGGGCGTCGCCTTCATAAGTGCTGTTTCCATCTTCGATTGAAGCATACTCGGTAGCTCTTCAGCGTGGCTGAATATCAGGACAAACCCACTGAAACCACTTTCTCAAGAACAGCACCTGAATATAATGAGACTACCACTTCCTCAAACCATTGCAGCCCTCAACTTAGGGTTCTCGGCACTCCCTACGTCCAACATCACTCAATTAGCTAGTATCCCAGGCAAGCGATGCGATGCTAGCCGTTTCTAGGAACCCGACCTGTTTCCCTTTAACATTCTCTAAGCGTAGTAACCTGCTCGCCTCCCTCAAACGGAGTAGCAGAACCATCAGCAGCACCGTCTGCACTACCCCTTCTCAAGCACGCCTACCGAACCCTGACACTCTCTGCTCGTCCACTAACATATTCAACGGCCTAACGACCAGCAGCACCCGGCGATTCACGAACGAGCGATCTGCGAACGCCCGATTTGCGAACGCACGATCTGCGATCGCAGCAATGGTGTGGGCGACGGACCCTCAGGGAGGCGAACCGCGTGACCCGGCCGAGCTCGCAGCCTTATCCGCCATCCAGAACCTGCAAGAATCCGAGAAACCCGTCCCTAAGCTCGTCGTCTTCGACCTAGACTACACCCTGTGGCCGTTCTGGTGCGAATGTCGGCGAAAGAGCGACAACCCGCGCTTGTATCCAGAAGCGGGTCAGGTTCTATCGGCTCTCGCGGCTGCGGGGATCCCATTCGCCTTCGCGTCGCGTACGCCGACTCCAGACATAGCGCGGGTGTTTCTGGATAAGCTAGGGTTTCAGATGGAAGACGGCAGCAGCTTCAGCAGCGAGTCTGTCAATTCGAGACGGAGCAGTGCAAGAGGCGGTAACAGTAACGCAGGTGGTAACAGCGGTAGCAGTTGCAGCAGCGGGGACGGGAATGGGAGAAGCTTAAAGCGGGTTGTACGAGCGGCTGAGATCTACCCCAGTTGGAGCCACAAGACGGAGCACTTCGAGGCGATCCGGAAGCGAACTGAAATCGCTTATAGCGACATGCTGTTCTTTGACGACGAGTCGCGGAATACGCGGGAGATCGGATCCCTGGGCGTAACGAGTGTGCTTGTAGAGAATGGTGTGACTGTAGACGAGTTGAAGGTTGGGCTGGCGCAGTTTGTGAAGAAGCATGAGGAGCCTCCTACCGAAGCTGCTAGTAACAGGGAGACGCATAAGTCCAAGCATAGGCACTGAGCTTCAAGGTGCCTTCAAGCTGTCCTCATCATGTTTCATATGGTGGTGGTCTTTGTCAAACATGTGTATTTGTCATGTTTGTATAGACTGTATAGGGTCGCCTCTTAGAGGGTACAACACTTAGCTATATCTGTGTGTACTCTCACTCTATCATTATTCAATTCTCTAATTTTGATATGGTATCACGCGTAGGTTAGGATCCCCCCCCACCTACCGCTTTCGCTCGCCCCCCTAGCTCGGCCCCGCCGTGCCTCCCTCCTAGCCCCGTCGTGCCCCTAGCCCCGTCGCGCCCCTTCCTGGGCCCCGTAGCGCCCCTCCTGGACCCCGTCGCGCCCTTCCTGGGCCCCGTCGCGCCCTTCCTGGGCCCTGTAGCGCCCCTCCTGGGCCCCGTCGCGCCCCTCCTGGGCCCCGTCGCGCCCCTCCTGGGCCCCGTCGCGCCCCTCCTAGGCCCCGTAGCGCCCCTCCTGGGCCTCGTCGCGCCCCTCCTGGGCTCCGTAGCGCCCCTCCTGGGCCCCGTCGCGCCCCTCCTAGGCCCCGTAGCGACCCTCCTGGGCCTCGTCGCGCCCCTCCAGGGCTCCGTAGCGCCCCTCCTGGGCCCCGTCGCGCCCCTCCTGGGCCCCGTAGCGCCCCTCCTGGGCCCCGTCGCGCCCTTCCTGGGCCCTGTAGCGCCCCTCCTGGGCCCAGTCGCGCCCCTCCCAGGCCCCGTCGCGCCCCTCCTGGGCCCCGTAGCGCCCCTCCTGGGCCCCGTCGCGCCCCTCCTAGGCCCCGTAGCGCCCCTCCTGGGCCTCGTCGCGCCCCTCCTGGGCTCCGTAGCGCCCCTCCTGGGCCCCGTCGCGCCCCTCCTGGGCCACGTCGTGCCCCTCCTGGGCCCCGTAGCGCCCCTCCTGGGCCGCGTCGAGCCCCCTCCTGGGCCCCGTCACGCCTTCAGGCCCCGTCGCACCCGCCTGGCCCCGTCACGCCCGCCCGGCCCCGTCGCACCCGCCCGGCCCCGTTGCCCCCTGCCCGGCCCCGCCGCCGTCGCCGTCGCAGCACCCGTTCGCTGACTCTGGGGGTGCGCGTCCCGGTAGCCCTGGGGGTGGTCCCTCTGGGGGTGCTGGTGTGGAGAGTGCCGGTGGTAGCCGAGGAGCAGCTTGCGGTCCAGGTGTCGCCGTTGTGCCGCCGCAGCAGCAGTCCCCGCCGGTGTCAGCCCTTCGCCTGCTCGGCCTTCCGTCCCCCGACCCTGCGTCGGTTCCTCCCCGACCGTCTCCTCCTCTTCCTGTCTACGGCCCTGTTTTCCCTCCGCCAGACTCGTCCCCGGCCCGTCTCCCCCCTCGTTCCCCTCCTGTGTCCCCTCCTCTGTCTCGTGACCCTACTCCTCCGTCGCACGTCTGGTCTCACCGTCCCTCCCGCGCTCGTCCTGCCTCGCCTGTCTTGCGCTCCCACCCTATGTTGCTTCATTCCCACGCGTCTCGTCCTCCCCTTCTCCCGTCGCCTCCTCCGTCCTCTTTTGTTGTTGCACCCCCCCCCGCTGTCTGACTACCTTCGTGCCGCTCGTCCCCTTGTTCCTCGGGTCCTTGCCTCTCTCGTTACCGACCCGTCTGTTCCGGCCTCGTGCCTTGACGCTCTTGTCGCTGCTGTCGCTGACTTCGCCTCTACCCGCCGCCTTGACTACGCCTCCGCTCTGGTCTCTGACCCTGCCTGTCCTCCGTCTGTCGAGGGTGCTCCTGCCCTTGGCAATGACGTCCTGGAGGACCGCCAGTTCGAGCTTGCTTTCCTGTCCGAGGCTGCTCCCCATCTCTGTTCCATGCTGCTAGTCCCTGAGGGTGACCCAGACGCTTTCGACATCCCGACCCCTCGCACTTACGTTGAGGCGACTTCGGGACCCTGGGCCTCGCAGTGGATAGCTGCCATGGAGCAGGAGATGGCATTTTGGAGATCCACCGGCACCTTCGTCGACGCAGTTCCCCCACCTGGGGTGAACGTAGTCGATGGCCGCTGGCTCTTCAAGGTGAAGCGCCCTCCTGGAGAGCCGCCTGTCTTCAATGCGCGCTATGTGGCTAGAGGCTTCAGTCAGCGCGAGGGGGTGGACTTCTTCCAGACCTTCGCTTCGACCCCGAAGATGACTACTCTTCGGGTTCTGTTACACCTAGCTGCTCAGCGTGACTACGAGCTTCACTCCCTCGACTTCTCCACTGCCTTCCTTCAGGGCAGCCTACACGAGCAGGTCTACCTGCGTCGCCCTCAGGGCTTCACTGGCACCTTCCCTCCTGGGACCCAGTGGCTCCTGCGGCGCCCGTCTACGGCCTGCGCCAGGCTCCCCGTGAGTGGCACGACACTCTCCGTGCTACGCTTGCTGACCTGCAGTTCTTTCCGTCTTCCGCAGACCCTTCACTCTTCGTTCGTGCTGGCCAGACTCCGTTCTACATCCTTGTTTACGTCGACGACCTGGTCTTTGCCACAGCAGACAGGGACGCACTGGCCTCCGTGAAGGCAGAGCTGCTGAAGAGACGCACGTGCACTGACCTTGGAGAACTGCGCCGTTACCTTGGCTTGCAGATCTCCAGGGACAGAGCTGCGCGCACCATCACTCTGACTCAGTCACACTTGGTGCGCCAGGTCCTTCAGAGGTTCAGCCTTCAGTTCTCCTCTGCACAGCCCACCCCTCTGCCTGTAGACCACAGAATCTCCGCTCCTGTGTCTGAGGAGTTGGTAGAGCCCAGTGGCCCCTACGCAGAGCTGGTGGGTTGCCTCATGTACCTGATGACTTGCACTCGCCCAGATCTCGCATACCCTCTCAGCATCCTGGCTCGCTTTGTGGCCACAGGCAGACACCGACCGCAGCACTGGTCTGCCGCTAAGAGGGTTCTGCGTTATCTTGCTAGTACATCGGGCATGGGGTTAGTGCTAGGAGGACGCAGGCCAGTGGTCCTTACTGGACACACAGACGCTTCATGGGCAGACGACGCTGAGACACTCAGGTCTACCCAGGGCTACTGCTTCAGCCTTGGCTCAGGTGCCGTCTCGTGGAGAGCTACCCGCTCCTCGTCTGTTGCGCAGTCCAGCTGTGAGGCTGAGATCTACGCTGGTGCCATGGCGGCACAGGAGCTCCGCTGGCTGACCTTCTTGCTCACTGACTTAGGTGAGCGGCCTAGCTCTGCCCCGGTCCTGTTCGCTGACAACAGGGCCATGATCCTCCTGTGTCAGGAGCCTCGACTCGAGGGCAGAGCAAAGCACATTCAGCTGCGGTACTTCCTCCTGCGAGAGCTACAGCAGCGACGTCAGGCTCGCGTAGTACACTTGGCCTCAGGTGCCAACACGGCTGATATCTTTACGAAGGCGCTTGCGCCTAAAGATCATCAGCGGCACTGTGTACAGCTTGGTCTAGTTCCTGTAGCCTCTCACTTGCTAGGACCTTGACTTTGTACTGTCCTTTATATCTATACTCAGACTGGACTTGTGTCCTCTCCCAGTGGCTGGACTAGTAGTGCCGCCCTGCTCTTGTTCTTGCCTTGTCTGTACTCCTTCTGACTGGTCTCTCAGACCCTTGTCTCAGAGGTTGGACTAGTAGTGCCGCCCTGAGCTGTTTGTTTAGGACTTTCCCCTATGCAGTCTAGGGGGTGTGTCAAACATGTGTATTTGTCATGTTTGTATAGACTGTATAGGGTCGCCTCTTAGAGGGTACAACACTTAGGTATATCTGTGTGTACTCTCACTCTATCATTATTCACTTCTCTAATTTTGATAGTCTTGTCTTATCAGAAGGAACATTACTGCTGGACTGCTCCACGCGTATACGGGTGCCCATCTTTTGTTTTTTAGTCGCCTCCTAAAGAGCGTTTCTGGGCTACTACGCTCATACACTGGTACCCGTCTTCTGTCCCACAGCATCATTTGAGCATTCCCCCTGCTCAGTGTCGTCACTGAGAAGCAGCAGGGCTCTTGAAGCTGCTCAAGTGAAGCTTGAATTCCTCTCCATATGATCGGCTCGGCACAGCAACCCATATTGGCACTGCAACCCATATCGGCACTGCAACCCATATCGGCACAGCAACCCATATCAGCACAGCAACCCATATCGGCACAGCAACCCATATCGGCACAGCAACCCATATCGGCACAGCAACCCATATCGGCACAGCAACCCATATCGGCACAGCAACCCATATCGGCACAGCAACCCATATCGGCACAGCAACCCATATTGGCACAGCAAGCAACCCATCACGTCGCATGTATTTATTTAGGACTGCGAATGTTGAGGTGTGGAACAGAAAATGCACTTCACAGCTGACAAGTAGCTAGCTAGCTGAAGAGCCATGCATGGTGTGTGACTTGTGTGCTTTAGTGGGATCTCTCTGCTTTATCTCTGGGACTCCCCTGTACATGTACTCCAGGGCAAGCTCTAACCAACCAACCTTATGCTTCAGTTCGGAAAGCAACACACACACAGTTATCCGGTTACCGTGTCAACTTTTACTATGCTCTAAGTTGAGACGATTTATCATGCAGCGGCATCTCCAACCCTTCGGGTGGCTTCAAGTATCTCTGCACGCCGACGTATGTCTCGATTCGGTTAACCACGGGGGACACGTCAGGATCGTTGAGAGCCTGCAGCTTGCCCCGGTACTCGTTCCCCACCACGTCCAGCAGCTTCAGAAACTGAGAGCGGTATGTCAGGTGCATGCGGTAACCAGCAATCTGCAGGGACAGAAGGGCGAGGGGGGGAGAATATGGGAGGTGTGGGGGAAAAGGGAGCAGCAGCATAGGGTAGTCAAGCGGGCATGAGCGTCGTTGAGTGCCTGCAGCTTGCCCCGGTATTCGTTGCCCACCACATTTAACAGCTTCAAGAACTGCGAGCGGTACGTCAGGTGCATGCGGTAACCAGCAACCTGCAGGGTAGGGGAAGGCATAGGGGGGGAAGAAACGATGCGCAAAGAACCTACTCAAATTATCTTCTAGAGAGATGAAATCAACAGCAGTTGTTCTTATGTATCTCACCAGATATAATCCTTTTTTAGTGTACTATTTGCTGTCCATGAAAAAAACACCCATTCCGAGATTCACCTACTCCTGAATCATTTGTACATGTACCTTGAGAAAGACTTCCAGAGCCGTGGCAGATGCCCGGTTGGCTGGGAGGTGGTTTAGCAGCCGAGCGCACCACTGCCACGCATGGGACAAACCAAAGGGGTGCTGTGCGGTGCCGGGTGGTGGAATGGTCTGGCAGGGACGGGGGAAAAGAGAGAGGATAAAGGTTGGGGAAGTTAGAAGGGCAGTGTTGAGAGTAGGGGAATGGCTTTTTTTTTTAGAATTCTAAAAAATCCAACTCAAAGCAGAAAAAAGGGGGCATGGTTGTGAGATGAGACTGCTATTGAGTTTGAGACGCCTGCAATTCTGTCTTTTTTTTTATTTTTTAAGAACAAAGGATGGAAAGAGAAGGAGGATGAGCATTGCATTACTGAGACTCCTAAAAAAACACTCCCTGTAGTGTCTACACAATATGCGAAATATAGCAGCAGTAAGTGTATGTGTATCGTGTCAGGTTATCCCTTCTACTAACATTCCTGGCATACAACAGCCATGAGCGTGAGTGATATATCCTCTCATCCTCTCTATAAGCATACCTGGCATATAGCAGCCATGAGTGTAATGTATCCAGTCATCCTCACTATAAGCATACCTGACAAATAGCAGCCATGAGTATAATGTATCCGGTCATCCTCTCTATAAACGCATCGGTCGATTCCATCCTCTTCTTGCCACCCTCCCCGTCCTCCTCCCTGTACCCCAAATCACGGTAATACGCCTCATCAGAGGGGTAAGAGGCCTGGTGGGTTGATAAGAGGAAGCATGTGGGACAGAGTGCTTTATGAGTTGACTCAGGTACTACCCCTCCCCCTCCTCCCTGTACCCCAAATCACAGCAATACGCCTCGTCAGAGGGGTAAGACGCCTGGTGGGTTGATACGGGGTAAGAATGAGGGACAGCGCCTTTTGGGTCGACTAAAAAATTTCCCCTCCCCTTCCTCCTCCCTGTATCCCAAAACATGGGTAGTACACCTCGTCTGAGAGATAAGAGGCCTGGTGGGTTGAGAATAGGATGGATAAGGGAGAGTGGTTGAGGGAGGATAAGGTATGGCGACTGCAGATTCGATTCTAAACAAACTCTTCTCTAAGCAGCAGGCTGCGTTGCCTTTGGGTTCGTGCGGAACGGCTGCACAAAACGAAAGATCTAGGCTACATCTTTCTGCTAACGGATGTCAGCGGAAAGGTGCGTCCAGTGAAAGGTGCATTGGTGCATTGGTTGTCGCATAGCTTCCTTCCCTCCCCGCGGCTCTTCTTCCGCGATGCTTACCCCGGGTCCTCAGCTGTCGTGCTCTGCCTTCGCTTGTATGTTCTTAGCTCTGGCTTCTCCTGCTCGACTAAATCCCGCCACCTACTGCTCTTCTCCACAGCTCTGATTGGCCTCTCGTCATGGGTCTAGCGTTGCTCAAGAGTAATTCCACAAGCAAGAGAGCATACAAGCTGCCCATGGAATTAATCCTCTGGTATCGAGAAAACAAACAGAGTAGCAACAAAACTCCTCACTAGCTGTTTTGTGCTACTCCTCCTAGCAGACGCACTCCTGAGCCAAACCCAACCCTCCCAACAGCTTCCGCCGCACGCCGTTTCTGGATTTTCTCCTCCTGTGATGGCCCTGTGTTTCCTGCCATCGACTCTCCTCCCTCATTCACTGCAGGCCCTTTTTGAACCGCTCCCCACCCAACTGACGTGTCCAATGCCCACATGCTGCCCTCCCAGCTGGCCCAGCCGCTCCCTGCCCCCCCAGCGCGCCCATCACTGTACCTTTCATCGAAAGTGCCTCAACCTATATCCACTACATACAAATCCTTCCAACTTCACTAAAACCTTCCGCGCTGTCCCATGAAACTCTGTTACCTTTGTATCGAGATTCATGCGACATGGTGCATTGGTGAATGCATACCTCCGAGAAGACATAATGCTGTGGAATGGTGTAGATGCAGACCTCGTTGAAGCTTCCAATCAAAGCTTCCATGGCTATGGGAGCCTGGCGCGGGGGGGGGGGTGGGGGAGGGGGTCCAGTGGAAAATGGGAGGCGGAAACAAAAAAACAAAAACAAAACAAAAAACAAAAAAAAGGGCACTCGTTCTGAGTTGACTCATACGTGAAGTGTTACTTGGACGAGGGGCACAGACAGGCTGAGACGAGATCTAGATGGGGCGAGAGAAAGTCTATCTCCCATGCCATGCCACCCAGCAGCAGGGAATGTCAGCGTATGGTTTTGAAACCCCAACACGAATATTTACAAACCCAGACTCTCGAAAACCCAACCTAACACGACAAGATGAAACACCCAACGAGTGCTACCCATTGCTGCAGCTCACCCTAAAAGGCCACGTTCACAATTTCTTGCGCTAGCGTTAAGTCAGAGATGCGTGAAATCACGGCCCAGACTCTTGGAAACTTACACGACAAGACGAAACACCGCCCAACCCAAGTGATGCCTCCCCCAGCTTACCCTGGAAGCCACGTTCACAATGACTTGCGCTAGAGCAAAGGCAAACGGCGGTAACTTGGTTACTTGGGACTCGCACTGGGATAAGATCTGGGAGAAATGCAAGGTGTGAAACGAATGGGGAGAGATGGAGACAAAGGGCTGTGGGAGAGACGCATCCAGAAATCGAGCCATGAGAGCCAGGTGGTTTGAGACGTTTCAGGAACTCAGAACGCCAGAGGAAAGATCAGAGCAAAGATCGGCGCAAAGATCAGCGCAAAGATCAGCGCAAAGATCAGCGCAAAGATCAACAACGCACCTTAGAGGCGAAGGTGATGGCGACAAAGGGCTGTGGAAGAGATGGGTCCAGCAAGAGAGCCACGAGATCAGCAGACTTCTTCCTGCGGGTTTGGAAGCAAAATAACGGCACAAGTTTTGAGGCGCCTCAAAAGCAAAATAAGGGCACAAGTCAAGAAGGATGGAAAGTGATCGATCAGCGCATTGGTCCTTCATTGGTGCGGTGCGGCAGTGCGGCACTGAAGGTCTTTCAGTGCGGCACATACCACACATTCTTCAACCTTTTAGTTAAAGAATTTCACTAAAGACTTTGAAAGTCTTTTAGTGGATTCAAAGAATTTCACTTTACCAGTCTGGTGTGGCGCATGCCCAGTGCCACATTGTTTCGACCAGTTTCTCTCAAAACTGAGACGAGCAGAGCATGCCTGGAAACTTCCTTCTTATAAACTCTGTATAATTGCCACAAAGTAAGGAAAGGAAAACTCTGCCCTCGTGCTGGTTCATGCCACATCATGCTGCGTCATGCCACATCATGCCAGGTCAAGTCTTACGCGATTTGATCGTGGGTGGCCGAGATTTGCTGAACCAGCAGGATGATGCGCCGCTCCACGGCCTTGCGGTCCTGCGGCATTAAGGGATGGGGTGGGATGAGATTGGATGTAGGACAATGCGGTGCAAAGCGGTGCAACGGAGCAGAATAAGGCACAGTGACATCTGCTGAACCGCCTAAACCAGCAGGATGATGCGCCCCTCCACAGCCTTGCGGTCCTGCAGCAGTGGGATGGATCGGCTTTGAGTCGACTCAACTTTTGAGTCGTCTCAAATGCAGCAGTGGGATGGATGGGATGCGGCTGAGTACAGTTGGGATGAGGTTGGTTGAGCTGGATGCGGTGCAAAGCGGTGCAACGGAGCAGGACAAGGTACAACGGCACCTGCTGAACCACCAGAATGATGCGCCGTTCCACAGCCTCGCGGCCCACCTCCGCCCCCACCTCCGCCCTTTCTCCCCCTCTCCCTCTCCCACCGGCCCTCATCCGCACCTTCTTCCTCGCGTTATCCGCCATGATAGGAGCGATCTCATCGCGCATTGCCTTCAGCCGTGCAACAGGGCACCTAACAACCCATTCCCCATCCCCCCACCCCTCATTCTCTCCTCCTCTCCCCTCATCCCCACCCACCTTCTTCCTCGCATTATCCACCATGATGGAGCCAATCTCATCGCGCATCGCCTAGAGCCGTGCTTCAAACCACATCAAACTCCCCTCACGCTTTCCCCCCGCCACCCCAACTCCCAAACTCGTCCGCACCTTCTTCCTCGCATTATCCGCCATGATAGGAGCAATCTCATCGCGCATTGCCTTCAGCCGTGCAAGCCGGGCTTCTGCCTCCCTTGCCGCCCCCTCTGCCACGCGCACTTTGGAGGACCGTTGGGCTGTGAGGAGGAGGAGGGATAATGACGGTGGAAAGGGGAGTGTTAAGGGTGTGCGTGAGACCTCACTTTATTGCCCCATCACCCACCATCACCGCATCTCACCGCATCTCACCTTGTTCTCCCATCCCCCCCCTTCACCAAGGTGCAAAAATACGGTAATCGTATTATACGGGCTGTATGATACGACCGTATTTTTCGGCCATTTTATGAAAAAAAAACGGCACCACCCTCAAAACGGCACTTCTGACCGTTTTTAACTGTATTATATGGCCGAAAAAATCGGTACCGTACCATACGGTAAATTTAAAAATAAAAAAACGCCCTTCACCCCCCATCAACCACCATCAGCCCCCCCTTCCCCACCTTGCTTCTTCTTTGCCTCTACTGCTGCACGCGCTGCTGCTGCTTTAGCCTGCAACAAGGGGGACAACGTCCAGCCCAGGGAGGGGCAGATAGATATGGTTACAGACAATAGCCACATGAAAAAGGTCACACAAAATAACTGAGGCAAAGCCATGCATACATACAATTAGTGAGGCGCCTCAAAAAACATACAATTAGTCACGGACATCGCCCATGCCCACCAGCACACCCCCAGCCCCCTGCCTCCTGTCCGTTGCCCCCACACCTAAACACAATTCTCAATATCCTACCTCTGCTGCTGCTCTTGCGTCAGCTGCATCTGCTGCTGCTTTTTCCGCCTGTGCTGCCTTCCTAGTTGCCTCCAGCTCTCTTTGCTGCCTCTCCATCTCTCTCCTCCGTTCCTCCTCTGTCCTCCTCTCCTCCTCTTCCCTCCTCCTCCTCTCCTGCTCCTCCCTCCTCCTCTCCTCCTCCATCTCTTTCTGCAGCTTTGCCCGAACCTCAGCTTCGATCTCGGCTCGGCGCCGAGCCTCCGCTGCCGCGGCTTCTCTCCGAAGCTGCGTTTCCCCAGCCTGCATTAAAAAGGGTGCAGGTGCAAGGTAGCAGGAGATGTACTCTGGCATCTTCTGGTTACAATTAACTTCTGGTTACCACTAATACCTGGATACACTGGACGTTTGAAAGCAATTAACTTCTGGTTACAGCTGACCTCTGACTTCTGCTCGTGCTCCTGAGATAGTCGGCGAATGTGAGAATCCCTCATCTCCTCCCTGCATGCACGTGCACATGCACACATGCACACATGCACACACACACACATGCACTCATGCACACACATGCACACACACACACATGCACACACACACACACACATACACACACATGCACGCACACGCACACATGCACACACACACACACATGCACACACACACACACATGCACACACACACACACACATGCACACACACACACACATGCACACACACACACACATGCACACGCGCACGCACGCACATTGATGGTACAACAAAAGCGTGAGGGGAAGCCCAGTGCTCCCAGTGCTCCCTCCAGTGCTCTCTCTTCCTCACTCACATTTGCTTGCCTCTTCTCCCTTCACCTCCTCCCTCCCCTCGCAGCTGCGCCGTATTCACATGCTTCTCCCAACTATCCTGCACTCTTCCCCCTCCTCTCCCTCTCCCTCTCCCGCACTCACATGGCCTTCCAGTGCTCCCTGTCAGCCGGTCCAGCATCGCCTCCACCACCCCTCGCTGCGCTTGCTTGCTTGCTTCCCTCGCAGCTCAGTTGTCCTCACATGCCTTTCCCATGCCTATCCCCCCCTCCGCCCCCCCTCCCCCTCTCCCGCACTCACATGGCCTTCCAGTGCTCCCTGTCAAGCCGGTCCAGCATCGCCTCCACCACCCCTCGCTGCACCTGCACCTCCTCCATCGCTGCTTGCCCCTTCACCCTCTCCTCATGCAGCCGTCTTTCGAGTGACAACCGCCGCTGCCGCAGCTCCTCCTGCAAAGCACAAGGGGATCGAGGAGTACGGAGCACAGCAGTCAGGAGGTGACTTTTGAAAAGTCACCTCAAAAGTCACCTCAAAAGTCACCTCAAAAGTCACCTCAAGGGGATCGAGGGTACGGAGCACAGCAGTCAGCACTTGGCTGCACCTGCACCTCCTCCATTGCTGCAACGTCCCATCCCATGCCATCCCATGTCATGCCATCCCATGCCATGCCATGCCAGCCCATGCCGTGCCAAACCATATCATCCTATGCCATCCCATGCCATCCCATCCCATCCCAGGCCATGCCGTGCCATCCCATACCATCCCATACCATCCCATACCATCCCATACCATCCCATACCATCCCATGCCATCCCATGCCATCCCATGCCATCCCATGCCATCCCATACCATCCCATGCCATCCCATGCCATCCCATGCCATCCCATGCCATCCCATGCCATCCCATGCCATCCCATGCCAACCCATGCCATGTAACCATGTACCTCCACCTCAGCAGCTAGCTTCCGCTCCACCTCCCCCAGTTCCGCCTCCACCCGCCTCACAGGCCGCGCCACTGGCCTCTCCGCGTCCAGCTCACTCCCCCTTCCGCCAACCCTCCCCCTCTCCCCCCGCTCACCCCCCGCTCCGCCACTCCGTTCCTCATTCCCCGCGTCCCCCTCCCCTTCTGACCCGCTAGAGTCGCTGCTGCTAAGGCTGATGTGAAACGACGCCTTCCGCGGCTTCTTTCCGCTGCTCCCCCCGCTCTTCCGCCTGTCCCTCCCCCCGCTACCCGCTTCCGCGTGCACACCCGGAGAATAATAAAACAAATCTTCCTTTCCTCCCGAATTCCCCTTCTCCTGTCTCCTCCCTCTCCTCTTCGCTGCTACAGCTGCTGCTCGCGGACCCTCGACGCGCCGTCATCCACGCCGGGGATCGCGGCGCTGATCGCGCCGGAGATCGCGCAGAGCCTCCTGATTCTGCCGGCCAGCAGGGAACAGCGCCAAACGCGCCGTTTCCGAAGGCGGCGGGGGCGGCGGCGGTGCCAGCTGATCCGGTTTGGAGACGACGAGAGCCCTTCGAATCGGCACCCGCCGCATTTCGCGGTCGGATCTTGGCGGGAACCGGGCCTGTGCGTCGTTGGATTGTGTCAAGCTCACGATTAAGATCGCCTAAGGACCAATGGGAATGGGGATCGAGTGCCACGTGTCCATCCGTGCTCCTGCCGGTATTGTCCATGCTGCGGGTGCACTGAAAAACTGCAGGAGCTGATGTATGTTGTTGCTAGAATGATTTAGGTCTCGCCATCAATTATACGACCATACTAGTACAGTAACATAATAAATGCTCACCAGTAGTGGCCGAAATGGTCGGCGGTACAGTACATCACCTAGAAATTGTCGACCTAGGGACCTCCATAGTGCTGACGACGCAGTGCGACGCGCTGATGGCGCTAACGACTCTAACAACCCAGCGCGACACGTCGCCCAGCAAAATCTGTCTGCGTTACAGTCAACTCAAAAGTGGAGGACGTCGAAGGGAACGTGGTGTACGGATTCCCTAAAATCTTGCTGCACGCGATATCCCTTCATTCCCAACCCAACGAACCTCCATTCCAATGAGCTGCCCTAAAAGAAAACCCTTTGAGCTGTTCAGGCAACTACTCTTACGAACCATAAGAAGCTTGTTGCTTAAATTGTGAACATAATACATGAATCATCACATTACTCTCACTTCACCTTCTCTTCCCTTTTCTCCCCTTCCTTCCACCCCTAGTCCTCCCATACTCCTCTTCCTCCTCCATCTCGATCAACTCCTCCAGATTCTTCCATTCATCTTTCCCTCTCAACCCCTCTCCTACATCACCCTTGCTCCCACTTTCACTCCACTTCCCCTTCCCTTCCCAACTTGCTTGTGTTCCCCCATTCAATCCCACAGCTCCAAAAGTTTCAGGTGGGCCACGGCTGGCATCAGGTGGACCGCGGGTGACATCAGGTGGACTTTCACCTCTCCAAGGGGAAATTTGATCATTCCCCGGAACGTCTGGTCTGTACTCGGATGGAAATACCGGTACGTCTCTACCATCTGCCCTTCTTTGGGTGCCCCCACTGGCTGCTGACCTGGCACTAGACACTGCTGACCTGGCACTAGACACTGCTGACCTGGCAGTAGCCACTGGTGACCTGGCAGCTGCTTCAGCTGGAATGGAATCACGTGGCACGGCGGGAGGGACGGGCACATCATGTTGAAACCATCTTGAATTCTCACCACTATCTGCAGCAGGCCGGGCAGCAGCAACATTGCTACCACTGCCGCCACCAGCAGCAGCGCCACCAGCAGCAGCAGCAGCACCACCACCACCACTAACACCACTCGCAGCAGCACGTGCCGTAGCAGGTGCAGCAGCGGCCTGAGGGGGCCGCAGTGGAACGAGCATGAAGTTAAGTCCCAGCACCTGGGCGGCAAACTGCTCCTCCGGACAGCTCAGCAGATACACCAGTTCCCTGCGCCGCCTGTTCCTCTCCCTGCTCTCTCTGGCGGCCCCAACAGTGTTGCTGGTGCTACTGCTGCTGCTGCCACGTGGTGGGCCGCGACTGGCGAGCACGCGCAGGCGGCGGCGGATGCGGGCATCGAGGGAGAAGCTGAAGAGCTTGGGGAACACCACCAGGTCCCCCTGGCTGCGCGGGTAGTAGGGGCTGCTCGTGCTGCTGCTGCTGCTGCTGATGCTGCTGGTGGCGCTTCTGCTAGAGGTGACTCCCCCCTCCTCCGGCCTCTCCTTCTCCACCCTCCGTTCATCCTCGAGCCAGAAGTCCAGCTTCGGCCGAAGCACGGAGCCAACGCTGTAGCCCAGGAGCGGTGGGAAGCGCACCACCATGGCTGCCACGTCAGCACGGGAGAAGCCTCGGGAGTAGAGGAATGATATCCTGCCACGTGGGCAGGGGGGGATAGGAGAAGAGGGCAGAGAGAGGACCGAGGGGGAGGGAAGGGAGGAAAGGGGAATGAGGGGCCAGCGGGGATAACAGAAGAACAACGAAGGAGGGGCGAGTTAGGGAAGCAGATTGATAGTGAGTGTTTACGATGGCAGCAAAACTCTCTTGATAAACCAACAGCACGTGCCATCATGTCACGGCACATGCTACCACGGCAACACAAGTCGCCCTCACCTGCCCCTCATGGCTGTCAGCCCCATAGTGAGCACCCGTGGGAAGCGGCACACCGCTCGAGCAACGTCGGGTGCAGCCACGCCCACCTCCCTCGTCAAGTCTCACCACTCCCTCATTGGCCTCACTCTCTTGAGACTTGAGGTCGCTCAAGGCGCAATTTCCCCATACACCCCATTTTTGAGTCGACTCAAAAATAGACTCATTACACACGGATTTCCCCATACACCCCATATCCTTCTCACCTGCCCCTCATGGCTGTCAGCCCCATGGTGAGCACTTCTGGAAAGCGGCACACCACTCGAGCAACGTCGGCTGCAGCCACGCCCACCTCCCTAGTCAAGAAAACGATCTTGGCTTGCAGCACGGCGGGGTAGAGGCAGAGCAGGCTGGGGCAGCGGAACACCAGGTGGGCAAGCTCGTGAGGCGGCACTGATAGGGTCTCCTGCAGCCAGTCCAGGGGCTACGGTTGAGGGGGAAATAGGACAGTGGGAGAGAGAATAGCAACAGGGAGACCAGTTGGGGAGAGGCAGAGCAGGCCGGGTCAGCGGAACACCAGGTGGGCGAGCTCGTGAGGCGGCACTGATAGGGTTTCCTGCAGCCAGTCCAGGGGCTACGGTTGAGGGGGAAATAGGACAGTGGGAGAGAGAATAGCAACAGGGAGACCAGTTGGGGAGAGGCAGAGCAGGCCGGGTCAGCGGAACACCAGGTGGGCGAGCTCGTGAGGCGGCACTGATAGGGTTTCCTGCAGCCAGTCCAGGGGCTACGGTTGAGGGGGAAATAGGACAGTGGGAGAGAGAATAGCAACAGGGAGACCAGTTGGGGAGAGGCAGAGCAGGCCGGGTCAGCGGAACACCAGGTGGGCGAGCTCGTGAGGCGGCACTGATAGGGTTTCCTGCAGCCAGTCCAGGGGCTACGGTTGAGGGGGAAATAGGACAGTGGGAGAGAGAATAGCAACAGGGAGACCAGTTGGGGAGAGGCAGAGCAGGCCGGGTCAGCGGAACACCAGGTGGGCGAGCTCGTGAGGCGGCACTGATAGGGTTTCCTGCAGCCAGTCCAGGGGCTGCGCCAAAAGGGGATGCCGATAGGGAGAACATGCAGGGCAGGGTGGACACGGGAAGCAGGACTGAGTAGAGGGAGGGCAGAGCAGGAGTGGCAGAGCAGGCTGGGCCAGTGGAACACCAGGTGGGCGAGCTCGTGGGGGGCAGACAGAGAGATTCTCCTGCACCCAGTCCAGGGGCTGCATGAAAAGGGGGGGAGTTGGGGGGCACGGGGGAAGGAAGGGGGAAGAGGAGTGAGACATTTCTGGGAGAGGCAGAGCAGGCCAGGGCAGCGGAAGTTCAGGTGGGCGAGCTCCTGTCGTGAGCGGGGCAAGAGAGATTCCGCTGCAGCCAGTCAAGGGGCTGGGCGGATGGGGGAGGGGGGGGAAGGGGGAATGAGGAGAGATAGCAGGAAGAAGGAGGTTGGACTTGTGCCGTCCGATTGACATCTGCTGCAGTCCCTCCCAAGCTCACCTCCCCCAATAAACACCAAAGGCTACCAGCCACCCCCAATAGTCACTCTATCTCACGTCCCCCTCTCAGATCTCACCTCCCCCAGTTGGTGCCTCGGTCGGCACAGCACGGAGAATCTGGCGGTTTAACACCCGCACCATCTGCAGCTGCACCTCCCCTGGGTAGACACACAGTCGCACCCGCTGTCTGCACTTGATCTATAGACCCACCTCCCTCCCCCTCTCAGACCTCACCTTCCCCTCTCAGATCTCACCTCCCCTAGTTGGTGCCTGGGCCGGCACAGCAGCGAAGGGCTGGCAGTTAGCACCCGCACCATCTGCCCGCGTGTCAGGCCCAGGTCCAGTAGGAACGCGCCAGCTGGCACGATGCTAGTGGCCGGGGAGAGCGAGAGCAGCTCGGGGCAGCGCGTGAGCATGCGGTCGACCTTGCTGATCGGGACCTGGTGGGGGGAAGAGGAGGGAGGGGAAAGCGGAGGACCTAGTCGTTGCACTGATGAAGGCATACGGCGCAAGCAGCATCCAGTGCACCCCGCAAGGGCAGGCCGCCACACAGCCCTGACCACCACTGACCACCACAACGCACCTTGAGGGTGTCGGTGATGGCAGCGGCAACGACCGGCGCGTTGAGGAAGACCGACGGGGCGAGCACTTGAGGGAAGCGGTGGATGATTAAAGGCAAGTCGCGCACTCGCATGCCCAGCTGGTGGGGGAGGCACACCGGGGGACGGGGGGAGGGGGTTAGAATGGGAAACGAGAAAAGGAAGTTCAAGCAGGGAGAGCACTTGAGGGAAGTGGTGGGTGATTAGAGGCAGGTCGCGCACCGGTCTCGCATGCCCAGCTGAAACAAGAAGCACAGGTGGAGTGGACGACACAGATAAGTGGGGGGGGAGAGGGGAGGGGTTGGGGGGGGGGGGGGAAGATTGGAATTGAGACACTGCAGGGAAGCGGTGGATGACGAGAGGCAGCTCGCACACTCGCATGCCCAGCTGAAAGGCAACGGGTTGTGGGGAGAGCACAGGCACAAGGGGCGGGGGGGGGAGGGGCAGGGGGGAGGGGGTAGGGGGGCGGGGGGCGGGGGGATGAGGGGTGGGGGGATGGGGAAAGGGGGGGGGGGGGAGGGGGGCGTGTATTGGGAAACGAGACAAGGAGGTTGTAGCAGGAGAGCACTGGAAGGAAGCGGTTAATGATGAGATAGATAGGTCCCGCACTCGCATGCCCACCTGAAAAGCAAGGGGTTGTGGAATGCAGAAGGAGGAAGTGGGGAGAGGAGGAGAGGGGAAGGAGGGTGGAGAGAGGGACAAAGAAAGGAGAAGCATGACAAAGAAGGTCAAGCAGGGAGAGCAACGGAGGGAGGTGATAAGGTCCCGCACTCGCATGCCCAGGTGAAGTGAGACTACTTTTGAGGCGCCTCAAAAGCGGTGTAGGCCCGTAGGGTAAGCACAGACTCGCATGCCCAGGAGAGACGACTTTTGACTCAAAAGTCACCTCGGGAATGTTCTGACAGCCACATACCCCTGGGGCCTCAAGAAACCACCTCAAGCGACACACATACACCTGGAGACTTTTGAGTCGACTCAAGAAGAGTCTATTTTGTAGTCGACTCAAAAGTCCCCTCGGGAATGTCCTGACAGCCACATACACCTGGGGCCTCAAGAAACCACCAAAAGCGACACACATACATGTGGTTGCCTTGCCTGAGGCCCCTCAAACCAAGCATGCACGCGCGCACACACACACACACCTGCTTTAGCTGCCGCTTGCACGCCACCATCTGCGCCTCCATCTCCTCCTCCCAACCCGATACCAACCCTAATTCCGACCCCACTTCTGATTCCGAATCGGATTCAGCTGCACTCATGTCTGCCCACCGCCTCTCCCCTCTCTGCTCCCGAGCTTTCGCACCACCGTTGGCTAAAATAGTAGATAAAGGGGAGACGGTGCCAGGGCGGGGGGAGGGGGAGTGAGAGGAGGAGGAGGATGGTGGCGGCACGTGGAGGGCGAGAGCAGGATGGCAGAGGAGAAGGCGACGCAGAGTGGGGCTACCCACGCCCCATTCCAGGGAAAGGTAGCGGAGGACAGGAGATAAGTGCCCGTGGTCTCTCTTGCTACTCCTGGTGGTGCTGATGCTGCTGCTGCTGCTGCTGCTGCTGCTTCCCTCTTCTCCCAACCTTCTAACCCCTTCTCTTCCTTGCTCGCCTGCTCCCTTCTCCACCATGCCCTCCGCTCCGAGTTGTTGATGTCTTTCCTCGCGCTTCTGTCCCATCACTTCCTCCTCCTGCCATCCCTCCATTTCCCCTCCCTCCTCATCCTCCCCTCCCTCCTCATCCTCCCCTCCCTCCTCATCCTCCCCTCCCTCCTCATCCTCCCCTTCCTCCTCATCCTCCTCTCCCTCCTCCCCCTCCCCTTCCTCCTCATCATCCCCTCCCTCCTCCCAAGCCAGGAAATCCGGGAATCCAGCAATGATGGCCGGCAGGGCAGTGGAGGAGTCGTCCAATAGCGCTACGCCACGTCGCTGCGCTGCCAGCTGGCGGAGGAAAGCAAGCGATAGGAGAGGACAGGAGGGGAGAAGGCCAGGGGGGGGGGGGAGGAGAGGGGAGGGAGGGGGGTGAGATAGACCGCTTGTGCTGCCCTATCTAATTCATCGTCTAAAGGTTTTCGGAGGGGGGGCGGTGGGGGGGAGTGGGGGAGATGGCGCGGGGGGTGGGGGGGTTGGGGTGCAGGGGAGTGGGGGGAGGAGTCAAGCAGAACTAGTTGGCACCTTTTGGAAGAAGCCCAGTGACCGCTGCAGCAGCACATCGTCATCCTGTGCGATCATCGCCAGCCGTCCGATCGCCCGCTGAATCAACGGCCCAACGGGAGCCACTCCCACCACACCCACGTTCCCCTTCCCCCCACTGCACAGCCCACTCTCCTCCTCTTCTCTTCCTCCCCCCTGCAATCCCTCCTCCTCCCCTCCTGTGTCCCCTTCCGTGTCCTCCCCCCTCCCACCGGCCGTGCCATCGCCTGCTGCCTGCCACAGATCCTCTCCTTCCCCTTCCGTCCTGCTGCTGGTGGTACTCACGCTATCGCTGCTGCTGCCGCTGCTGCTGCTGCTGCTGGCTGTGGTGCTGGTGGTGGCAGGGGCGTTGCTGCTGAGAGGGGCGCTGTTAGAACGAGAGACTTCACACACCATAGTGGCTTCGGCAGCTGGTGCCGCGCCAGCACCAGCATGTAGAAGGTCCCTGAGCAGAAGAATCTGAAGAATGGGGGAAGGGAGGGAGGGGGAAGAGAGGGGAGAGGGGGGTTGGCAAGGAGGGGGTGGGGGGGGAGGAGGGATTGGTGAGAGGAGTGGGAGAGTCTATTTTTGAGGCGCCTCAAAGATTGGTGAGAGGAGTGGGAGAGGACAGGGAGACAGCAGATACGCAAGGTGCGTGCAGGGACAGGTGCGTGCAGGGAAAGGTGCGTGCAGGGAAAGGTGCGAGCAGGGACAGGTGCGTGCAGGGACAGGTGCGTGCAGGGACAGGTGCGTGCAGGGAAAGGTGCGTGCAGGGAAAGGTGCGAGCAGGGACAGGTGCGTGCAGGGACAGGTGCGTGCAGGGACAGGTGCGTGCAGGGAAAGGTGCGAGCAGGGACAGGTGCGAGCAGGGACAGGTGCGTGCAGGGACAGGTGCGTGCAGGGACAGGTGCGTGCAGGGACAGGTGCGTGCAGGGACAGGTGCGTGCAGGGACAGGTGCGTGCAGGGACAGGTGCGTGCAGGGACAGGAGTCCATTTTTGAGGGGGCGCCTCACAAAAAGGTGCGTGCAGGGAAAGGCGCTCACCTTTTGAGGTGCCTTTCCCTGCACGCACTAGTGCCTTTTGAGTAAATCGTCACGTCACCACTAAAAATCACCTAGTCGTCTCAAAAGTCAACTCAAAAAGGAGAGGGAGACAGGAGACAGCAGAGAGAGAGAGAGAGAGAGAGAGAGAGAGAGAGAGAGAGAGAGACAGAGAGAGAGACACACACACACACTCACTCACTCACTCACCTTCTCCCACACTCTCGTTGCTGGCATCCCCCCACACACTCGCGCCACCTGCTGTGCTTTCCCCCACGTCACTCCCACACTCTCCACCACCGCTGCCACCACCCATTCCGCTGACGCCCCACGCCCTGCTGACGCCCCACGCCCTGCTGACGCCCCACCCTCCGCTGACGCCTCACGCCCTCTCCCTGTCCCTTGCCCCCCCTGCTCCCTCGCTCCATAACCTCCAAGCCTTCGCCTCTCTCCCTGTCCTCGCCTCTCCCCCTCTCTCCCCCTCTCCTCCCTCAGTGCATCCACCAGACGCAGAAACAGGGCCTCCTCCCCCTCCTCATCCCCCTCCTCCTCCCCTTCTCCCTCACGCTCAGATTTCCCCAAGTCCTCTTCGCTTTCGTCTGATTCTCCCAGCCGTTCTCCCACATCCAGGTCTAAGCCCTGAACCCTGCCGGAGGGTTTTGGCGAGCCACTTCGAGTCTGCTCAGGCTGACGTGTCCCGGCGGTTTCTACTAACGAAGGGTCGTCAGGAGGTTGTTCTAGTAGTGAAGGGACGCTCACAACTGAAGGACTGTCTGGTCTAACCTCAGGTGTGCCTTCAGGTGTGTTTTCAGGTGTGCCTTCAGGTGGGCCTTCAGGTCTCCTCCCTGGTCTAAGCCCTGAGGGTCTGAGCAATCTTTCAAGTTCAGCTGCCCCCCGTTCGTCAGCATCTCGCTCCAAAACGAATTGCGCGAAACCTGTAACGTTCCTCGCCACAGCCTTCGCATGGTCTTCGCTAAACCCCTCGTCCTGCACAAGAACCACCGCCAAAGCCGCCCGCGCAATCTCTACCCTCCGCTCGTCAATCTCCCCCAACTCTTCCGCCACCTCTCCAACCCTCCCCCCTCCGCGAGTGCTTCCGCGAGTGCTTCCCCCCAATCTTCCCCGGCCGCCTCCGCGGGCGCGTTGTCCCCCGCAGCGGCATCCGCTCGAACATGGCTCCTTGCGCGCGAATCTGTAACACCGATCGCACGCGATCGCCTGCTCGTGCGAACATCTGCCAAACTAGTTGCATGCGATAGCCTGCTGGTGCGACCAGCTGCGACAGGGATCGGGGTGGACCTGTGAGGACGACAAGTCAACGGTTCCGGGATCTCGCGTTGACCTACGTTGACCTCTGCCAACCGTTGCGAGAGGCGAGACCACGTGTGCGTGTGCGAGAATCCTTTGCCGCTGTTGACTGCCGTTGAGCGGGTTTGACCGACTCCGGCCTTGGATCCGCGAGAGGGAGGAGACAACGGGTTTGGGAGCCGTTGACCGCTGCTGACTGCCGTTGACTGCAAGCGACATAGCAGCGGCCGGAGAGCACAATCTGACGCATGCATGTGGGAGCACGCGAGAGGACGGCTAATAGGATGGCTGGCTACAGCGGGAAGCGATGAGGTGAGGGGAAGAAAGATCAATGGAGAGAGAATAGTTTAAAGTTTTATATAATTTTGTGCTCCCTAAAGACATCCTGCTATAGCTCAGTTGGTAGAGCGGAGGACTGTAGTTGAGCAATCCTTAGGTCACTGGTTCGAATCCGGTTGGCGGGACATTTTGATCTTTTCCCCCCAGCATCTTGGCCAGCATCCTCCACTCCCGTACATCCCTCCAGAGCTTTTTCTCGCCAGGGTAGTATAGGCTTCCGATCGCCGTAGCCGCATTTGCCGTTTTGTTGACCCTTCAGCCATCGCGATAGCCACAACACTACTTACGCGCCGGTCGCGGTAGTGACCTAGGCATTTGCCTTGTTGTTGAGAAGTCAGGATTCGAAGGCTTCGGTGCTCGCTGCAATGGCGGGTCGCCAAGCCCTTCGGATCGGGAAGATCTCCACCGTCCATCGCATTCCAGTCGTTGCCGCATGCCTTTCTGAGAAGGTCGTCGCTACCTCTCGGTCGTTTTTATCGTCCGCTCACTCGCTCCGCGACTCGCTCGGCGATTCGCTCGGCGATTCGCCAGCATCGCCACCGTCACTTGCATCGCCAGAATCGCCAGCATCGCCACCGTCGCCAGCATCAGCCGGAGCTTCTGCCGCAGCGGCAGCAGCAGCGGGAGTCCGCGCCGGTCCGACGGTGAAAGCGCCAGTCGGGGGTGACCGCCCGCGCACCATTGGGGGAATTGGCGCGCCAGTGAGGGGAGGCGGCGCGCGCGCGGTGGTGCGGAGCGGTGAGCAGGCAGTAGGGGGAATCAGCGCGCGGGCGGTAGCAGGGGGAGGGGGCGCGCGCGCGGTGGTGCGCGTGGTGCGCGCGGACGGGATGGGCGTGGAGGCGCAACTGCGGCTGGAGGAGAAGCTTCTCAGAAGCGACCCCACGGGCAGCAACTGGTTCGTCTTCAATGCTGACGTGGCAGCGCCGACCATCGTGATGGGGATATCGGGGTGAGCCACTTCGTCCCTCCTTGGCTCTCTTCTCCCTGCCCTCTACCCCCCCCCACGCACCACAACCCTACACCCCCCCCCCCTCCCTCCTCCCGCCCCCCTCCTCCCTTTCTCCTCACCCCTTTTCACCGTTTTTTATCCAGCAAGCTTCACATGCCCTCCTCCGTTTCCTCGTGCTCTTTTTCCACCAAGCTTTAGCCCAAAGCAGTTCTGCAGTCTTCTACGTCAGCTACTCCCCCCTTCCTGCACCCCCCCCCCCCCCCCCCCCTCTTCCTGCACCCCCCCCCCCCCCCCCCCTCTTCCTGCACCCCCCCCCCCCCCCCTCTTCCTGCACCCCCCCCCCCCCCCCTCTTCCTGCACCCCCCCCCCCCCCCTCTTCCTGCTTACCCCAGCAAGCCTCACGAGCTGCTTCACACCGAAGCAGTCCTCGACGCTCGGGTGCCGGTGGTCCGCCGGTTCAGCGGGGGAGGTACGGTGGTGCTGGACGGAGGCTCGGTGCTGACGAGCCTGATCTGCAGGCGCGGCGTGGTGCCGAACCTGCCGGAGTACCCCCGACCCATCATGGAGTGGACAGAGGGCCTGCTCCAGCCAGCCATGGCGAATGTTCCGGGCTTTGCTCTGAGAGACAACGGTGAGTGTTGGGGATGTAAGGAAAGCAGGCAATGTGTCAAGGAATGCAATGTGAGTCTTGACACCCAAGCTGTAATGGAGTGGACTCAGGGGCTTCTGCAGCCAGCCATGACGAATGTTCCAGGCTTTGCTCTGAGGGATAATGGTGAGTAAAGCATGACATAACCATGTAGATTTCATGGGAAGTCCGACAATGTAATCAATGGCATTGCTGTACACAGCAAGGCACCCAGCAATGCGCAAAGCAACCAGCAACCCAACACCAACCCCCAATCGCCACCCTTTTGCACTAACACTTTGGCACAACGGGGGTGACAATGCTCAGATATCGCTCGACTCAAAAGCAAATTTCGCTCCAACCGGCAGCACAGCACGCATGAGCTCATCCTCAACCCCCTCATCCGTGAGGAGTCTATTTTTGAGGCGCCTCAAAAATAGACTCTTCTTTTGAGGCGCCTCAGAAATTGGCTGCTCAACCCCCTCATCTCCACACTCCCACCACTCTCAAACATTTATTTTTTTAAGCGCCTTAAGAACATCACTCCAGCATCATTGCACCAGATCTTAAGGTGCCGATGTTCAGAGCACACTCCAGCATCACAGCATCACAGCATCACAGCATCACTCCCACCGCTCTCCACCAGATTACGTGGTGGGCAATCTGAAGGTGGGCGGCAACGCGCAGAGATCACTCCAGCTCCCCAACACGCATTGGCTCATCCTCAAACCCCACACCTCCACACCCCCAACCCCTCAAACTCCCACCGCTCTCCACCAGATTACGTGGTGGGCGATCTGAAGGTGGGCGGCAACGCGCAGAGCATCACGGGCAGTGGGTGGCTGCACCACACTTCCTTCCTGTGGGACTACTGCCCGGCCCGCATGCGGCTGCTGCAGCAGCCTTCTCGTGCTCCAGAGTATAGACAGGTGGGCGTGTGACCGTAGGGTATGGGTATGGTATGGTATGTGACTGTAGGGGATGGGTATGGTATGGTATGTGATTGTAGGGTATGGGTATGGTATGGTATGTGACTGTACAGCAGGAACAGGCTGCACCACACGTCCTTCCTGTGGGACTACTGCCCCAATAGGATGCGGCTGCTTCAGCAGCCTTCTCGTGCTCCGGAGTACAGACAGGTGGGCGTGTGATTGTAGGGTATGGCTATGGTATGGTATGTGACTGTGCAGCACGAATATGCTGCACCACACGTCCTTTTTGTGGGACTTCTGCCTGGATAGGATGGGGCTGCTTCGTCAGCCTTCTCGTGCTCCAGAGTACAGACAGGTGGGCATGTGACTGTATGGGATGGGATGGGCTGGTATGGTATGTGATGTTACTGTATCGCAGCAACAGGCTGCAGCTCAACTCAGTGCGTGCATGCACCAATAGACGGGTGCCTTGCAGCATGTGAGTTTGTGGCATTTTTCAGCATGGTGTAGCTGTATGTAAGCTGTGAGAAAAGCAAGCAAGCTGATGGTGTTTCGAGGCTCCTCTTACAGCGTGATAGGGCTGATATCTTTTATCCTCCGTGCTTCTCCTTGGCAGGGACGCTCCCACGAGCAGTTTATAACCAAACTTAGAGAATTCTACTCAAGCAAGGATGATTTTCTGAGATCTGTCATGGTCGCTCTTGCCCTTCGCTTTGATTTACGTGCAACCGCTCTCCACCAAGTGGAGGCCTTGCCATTCCAACCCTGGAAATCTAGTGTTGCTGTTCTATCCAGTGATGAATTGACTATGCTCACAAAGGCATGATATTATTGTGAGAAATGGTTATTTGAGTGTTATCATCATTCTTTTGCCTTCTAGTTCAAGTACAAGTGCTTATCTAAGCGCGCTTGGTTGTTTGTCTGTTGTAACGAAATCGCGCGTGATCCTAATGAATCCAACCGTCCGCTCTTCCCGCTGCACACACAAGCAAAGCAACCCTTGGTTCCCCGCAACCGCAACGCGCCGTGCACCTCCTCTAGCACCGCGCGCGGCACTTCCCCTGTCCGCTGCTGCCTTCCGCTTCTACTGTACAGCTGTTGCTGCTGCGCGTGCCCAAGGCCTTGGGATTGGGGATCTGACCAATCCGTACATCCCAAGGCCTTCGACAATTTCAAGGTGCCGTTTTCCCAACCTCCCCTTCTTGACTGGAGCCTCCCCTCAAGGTTCTCGGAGCTGCTGGGACCACGATCCCTTAGCGGCCAGGCTGGGGATATCAACACTCCATCGCAGATTCCACTTTCCGTGAATGGCTGCTTGGAGCCCCATCTCCGCGAAAGCCACCTCCGCGTGCTCCTCCTCATTCGCTACCCTGTCGTGCTCCTCTAAGCGCCTTCTAAGAGTAGTTCCCGCCGCGCTTTGCGGGATCTCCGGCGGATCTGGGCCTGCTGTAGCTGGGGGTAGCCTTGGCTGCGATCTGCGTGGCGTTCAGGTCCCATTGGCTCGCGATTCGCATTTCAGGTATAGAGAGGCGTTCCTGTTCTCGGAGTCGGATCGAATGGCAGTTTCAGGTAGTGCTCCCACGATATGGATTAGAATTAGTCCTCCCGAAGCATCACTGATGGCATCGCAGTGTGGCACACAGACTGTCACTAGCGGCACCTTCCGTAGTAGAAAGGCTCGTTAGAGCGACAGTCTGTGGGTTGATGGGATCATGGGATCATGGGATCATGGGATCATGGGATCATGGGATCATGGGATCATGGGATCATGGGATGCCTCCCAAACAGTCAGCAGCGTCCTTTGTCCATCCCATCCGTCAGTGCTTTATCGTGCGAAGTTTAGTATGCATTCGAGTCATGCGAATGGATTCAAGTGAAGCGTATGCATCCAAGCGTATGCATTTAAACCATGCATTTATCTCTCCGGAACGTTGCCGCGTGCGTACTGAGGGGTTAGATTCGATCCGTCAGCGCCATTGGCTGGCCCTTTACATTGTCTCTTTCGTCGTTTTGGTCATCTCCGGCGCCGTTAGTATTATGCTGTCAACGCCGTTACGTAGTTACATTCATTCGCTCAATGTGAAGCCGAATCTCGTCGCCAATGTCAAATCTCTGCTCCTCCTCTTCTCTTCATTCCCCCCCTGGCTCCGTTTATCATCTTCTCCACTTTTACCTGGTCTATGTCCCTCTCCTCCCCCCCTCTCCACCACCCCCCTCCAGGAGCCGTTATCATTCAACCCGGCTCGTCGCCAGAGCTACTGCCACCATGAGCCCGCTGTCAGGTACCGTCGCAGGCCGATCATGTGCGAACCTCGCGAACGTTCTTGCGAAACAACCTGCTCCTGTTGCCGTGCTCGTTTCGCTGTTCCTCGCCGTGGCTGTCGTGATCGCGGTTGGCGGAAGCATGACTTCAAATGGCGGCAGCAGCAGCAGCGGCAGCCCGAGCGATGGCCGTTGTCCGAGCTCCGACAAGCAGTGCTCCGTTAATGAGAAAAAACCTTCAAGGCCCGCATCAGAAGACCAATTGCCATTCGGCAAGCAAGCTTCCCTCGGCTCTCTCTCTCCCCCCCCCCCCCTCCCCTCCTCGCTTTCCCTCCATCGCTCCTTCCCCGATACATTAGGCTGATACACTATGCTTTCTGTACGCTTTGTCAGAAGCACAGAATTTTTTACATCCTTCCCCGTGTGCTCCAACTCCTCGTTCCACTTCCAGTATCAACCACGGAGGGTCCTCCCTTGCTCTCTTCTTCTCCCTCACTTCCCACCCGACCTCTCCCTCCCCCCCCTCCTCCTCCCCACTTTCACTCTCCCCAGGCACACCAGCGGCGAAGACCATAGTGATTCCAGCCAAGGCGGGAAAGCATGCAGCCACTGTCGTGTGGCTGCATGGGCTGGGAGATACCGGCTATGGCTGGTCCGATCTATGCGAGACAGTCAACCTCCCACATGTATGTGCGCCCTAGACTCTGTGCACCCTTGTCTCTGTGAACCCTTGTCTCTGTGGCCCCCTAATCCTGTGTTTCTTCGCGCTTCGCTCTTCTGCTTCCTCTCCTGCTTTCGCTGCACTTCAGCTCACCTGCATGAACCGTTTTATCTGCAGGCGTATTCTGACAATTCCCAGAATACAATTCATCTGCATGCGTCCTTTCCTGCCCGTGATGCCCCCCTCTCTCCCTCCCCCGCCATGGGTGCAGATCAAGTGGATTCTCCCCAGCGCTCCTATCGCCTCTGTCACAATCAACGGTGGCATGCCATGCCCCTCCTGTGAGTATTGCCCCTCCTGTGAGTATGGCCCCTCATGTGCGTATCGACCCCCTTCATGTGACTCTTTCCCGGTGTGTGAGTATTTCTGTGCCATGCCCCTCATGTGACCAGTCGCATGCCATGCCCCTCATGTGACCAGTCGCATGCCATGCCCCTCATTTGACCAGTCACATGCCATGCCGCTCATGTGACCAGTCGCATGCCATGCCCCTCATTTGACCAGTCGCATGCCATGCCCCTCATGTGACCAGTCGCATGCCATGCCCCTCATTTGACCAGTCGCATGCCATGCCCCTCATGTGACCAGCCATATGCCATGGCAGCCATGCCGAACCTTAGGTTATATCATCTCACCTCTTCTCGCCGCATCACGTGCACCACCCTCGACCCCCCAGGGTTTGATCTCTTCGGTTTGGACGCCGGTGCTCCTGATGACGTGAAGGGCATTGACGCGGCTGCAAGATACGTGGCTGGGATCCTGGAGGAGGAGAAGAAGGCGAATCCGGGTGGGTTCTGTGCCGATTAGATTGACTAGCATGAGAATCACTTGTCAAGGGCAGTGATACGTGGCTGGGATCCTGGAAGAGGAGAAACGGGCGAATCCGGGAGGGTTTGGGGGTCACCAGGTGGCTATCGATTGCACAATGGCCGTCAAGGGCAGAGGCGCACATGAATGGCGCGAAGGGTGCTGATGCTGGCAATGCTGTCATACTTGGCAGCGAGATACGTGGCCGGGGCTCCGGAGGAGGAAAAGGGGTGGGCAGCCAAGGGGGGTGGGGGGAGGTTGACCTTTTATCCCCCCTTTTTCTCCTTTCCCTTGTCGTGACCCTCCCTTCCTTCTCCATATCCGTTCCTTGCTCAAATAGGTTCATTGCTCAATTCATTCCGCTTTCGTCTTCTTCCAGACGTCAGGTTTGCAGTGGGCGGGTTCAGCCAAGGGGGCGCTCTCTCCCTCTTCCAACAACCCTGCACCTCCTGCCTTTCCTTCGTCTTCCCTCTTCGTTAACCCCCGTCGTTTCTCTGTTCCTCTCCAGACGTCAAGTTTGCAGTGGGCGGGTTCAGCCAAGGGGGCGCTCTCTCCCTCTACCTCATGTCACGGAAGGTGCTGGGAAGGTTCGAGGATGGTTCCAACGCCTCTTCTGTGCCCCTCTCCGCGTCTGTTGCCTTCAGCGGCTGGCTGCCCAAGTGCAGGTGGGGACTGGGGGAGGTGAGATGTGGCTTGGGGTGGATGGGAAAGGAAGATCGCCCCTTGTGTGATTCACGTTTCGTTTCTGTCACGTTTGCTTCAGCAATAGAGGTAGCCTAGCCTGCGATTATTTGTGTGTGGGAAAAACTGCTACCATCTGCAAACCTGTCCCACTACACCCCCCCCCCATATCCCCCTCCCCCCTCCTCTCGCTCCACAGTCTGAAGCCAGGGGGCAGTGCAGCAGCAGATGCATCAGTGGCAGAGAGAGCAGCGGCCCATCCTGTGCTCATGGCGCATGGGGAAGGTACGCTGGGCGATGGTGTGTGTGCTTGGTTGTGTCGTGTATGAGTCTTGGATGTGAATATACCAGGAGGACGCGTCGGAAGAGGAGAGAGCAGCGGCCCATCCTGTGCTCATGGCGCATGGGGAAGGTACGCTGGGCGATGGTGTGTGTGCTTGGTTGTGTCGTGTATGAGTCTTGGATGCGAATATACCAGGAGGACGCGTCGGAAGAGGAGAGAGCAGCGGCCCATCCTGTGCTCATGGCGCATGGGGAAGGTACGCTGGGCGATGGTGTGTGTGCTTGATTGTGTCGTGCATGAGTCTTGGATGCGAATATACCATGAGGATGCATCGGAAGAGGAGAGAGCAGCGGCCCGGGGAGAGGGGGAGAGGGGGGATGGAGGGTGGGGTGTGGGGGGGAGAGGGGATGGGGCGTGGCAAGGACTAGGCTAACGTTCAGCAGGAAGGTAATAATGCCCCAAGCGTTTTTGAGGCGCCTCAAAAACGCGGCGCCTCAAAAATCGTTTTTGAGGCGCCTCAAAAATAGGAAGGTAATAATGGCCCAAGCGTTTTCCTTCTCATCTGGCATGTGTTCCCATCCCACCCAGATTTCTCTTCCATTCTGACGTGCCTGCTCATGGACATTTCCATTCGGTTATGGCATGTGTGCCCATCCACATAACGAGGTGACTTTTGAGCCGACTCAAAAATCACCTCGTTTGAGCCGACTCATAAATCACCTCTTTTGAGCCGACTCAAAAATCACCCCATTCTGACATGCCTTCTCACGGACATTTCCATTCTGTTATGACATGTGCGCCCATCCACGTAACCTGTCCTGTGCAGCTGTCCTGGTGCCATGCGCCTTTGGTGCGAAGGTGCTTTCTGCAGCTGGACTGACAATATTTAGATCTCCTTCTTCCCCATTCCCCCCCCTCCGTTACTCCGTCCACACACACACCGTGCAGCTGACGGCCTGGTGCCATTCGCCTTTGGCAAGGGCTCTGCTAAGGTGCTTCAGGAGGCTGGGTTCTCGAATCTGACCTTCAAGTCGTATCGAGGGTAGGTTGTTGGCTATCATTGGAGGGGTACGCTTTTGTCAAGGGAAACATGCGGCCAGGGAAGTGTGGGTATCCCACGGGTTACCCACACTTCCCTGGCCGCATGTTTCCCTTGGATCCTTGGCTCTCCTACCACACAGTCTGTATTGTCATAGCTCATACTTGCACATCCTATACTAGAACCGCCATACTGTCACATGAAGCAGCTCGCGAGCTGTCTCACAGCTTGACCAACTCATCATGTTCCAAGGAGCTGGCTTGCTGTGAGGCACAAATAAACTGTTTTGCTTTCACCAGCCCCTCCCAGACGAGAACAGCTCTCCCTGTCTCCAATTGCCACCAGCTAATTCATGCCTCACAGAATGGCCCACTTTGCCTGGCCCCAGGAGCTGCCAGACCTCGAAGCATGGCTGGCAGGCCTTACGCGTGTATTACCAGCAAGTTTCATGCATGCACGGTGCTTCATTTCGTCCCCGCTTTGACTAGCCCCCCCCCCCCCCCCCCTCCCCCCATTTCGGCCCTTTTCTGCTGCCCCTCTGCCCCCCCTTGCTCATCTCATGCTCTCCCCTCGCCCTGTCCCATGCTGTGCCTTCCTTGTTGCCTCACAGCATGGCCCACTCTGCCTGTCCCGAGGAGCTGGCGGATCTCAAAGCATGGCTGCAGAAGCACGTGCCACCACCATCTTGAGTCCCAACCTGCTGCTGTCTAATATTATCGTAACGTTATTAACCATACATATGAATGTTGTGTATTATTCTCTTTGCCTAGCATAACCTTTCACTTGAATCCCAGCTCCCAAGTCATTGTGCTAACCCAGTATGCCCAGCCAAATTGAATTTGAAAAAGAGGAGTGAAAATAGTACATTCACCAATGGGTTGTCTTACAACTATGGTTCATCTATCCGTACATAACAAGAGAGTCGTATGTATGCAAGTATCAACTATAGACTCTTCGACGTGTTATGTTACGTGGGAGAAGCCTGTTATGAGTGTTTCACCAGAGTAGTGCGGAAACGAATGTCGAGGTTCAGAATAACAGAATTATCGTACAATGGAATGACGAAGCAAGATATAGGAACACCAGAGCAATCTTATCTGTGCGATCGAACAGGCTCGACGAAGGCATCCAAGGACGTAGATCGGGAAAATTACTGCCACGGACTGCCCACAAATCTTTTCATACTTTCGTGGACAGCCCCTACTTTCACGGACACCACATCAACCTTTCGCTTCTCCCGTGGACTCCGTCCCTACTTTCATGGACATCCGCCTTACTTCCATGGACAAGGTCGAAATAGCAGGAAATAGGCGAAAACTCAACTGTACAAAAAATGACGGGCGCTGAAAAAAAAAAAAAGCAGGGGCTCAGCGTGCGTCGCAAAGAGTCGCACGCTACAGTGCCCCAAACCAAAATCCGAAACAGAATCTACCAGAAATTGGGAACGACTTTCACGCCAGGTTTTCGTTTGGTGCTTTTCGCACAGTAAGTCGTGTGACGTGTGATTCGGCAGGCAGTACCCACGCGTTTCTATGTTACTGTACTTCAGAAGGAAAAATCGGTACGCTCTGTCAAATTGTCTACCAGTTCAGACTAGTGCTGCTGCTGTTGTTGTTTACATCATATTCTCAAAATGAAAGGTTTCCTTCAATGATGAATGTTTTTGGGTTGCGTAGCAACCTTATAAAATTGGTTTCATGTTTTTGTGCGCCAGGGTGTACAATAAATTTAGGGTTAATACACCTGTAAAATGGTTGAATGTAAATATTTTACACTCGTAAAGTGTTGTAACGATACGACATTGTGCTGCTTACTTTATATATGTTTTGCCTACCAACCGTCTGTCGATGAATACGGCGGACGAATGGTTTCAAAACATACATTCGGTCGCATTTTTGTCACACAAAATCAACCACGTACCGTACAAACGCGTACGAATGTACAATGATGCAGTGGATGCGATGAAGCCATGCACGAATGCTTCCGTGCTGCAAGCGTGGTTGACATGTACGTTTTGGAAGCAAAGCTTTCCAAGCCGACAACGACAACCACAATTTGCATGTTGCACTTAGCATATATGTGTCAAACATGTGTATTTGTCATGTTTGTATAGACTGTATAGGGTTGTCTCTTAGAGAGTACAACACTTAGGTATATCTTTGTGTACTCTCACTCTATCTATCATTCAATTTTCAATTATGATATGGTATCACGCGTAGGTAGGATCCCCCCCACCTACCGCTTCCGCTCACCCAGTCGCGACCCCCTCCTAGCCCCGTCGCGCCCCTCACTAGGCCCTGTCGCGCCCCTCCCAGGCCCCCTAGCACCCCTCCTGGGCCCCGTCGCGCTCCTCCCAGGCCCCGTCGCGCCCCTCCTAGGGCTTCGTAGTGCTCCTCCTGGGCTCCGTATCGCCCCTCCTGGGCCTCGTCGCGCCCCTCCTGGGCTTCGTAGCGCCCCTCCTGGGCCCCGTAGCACCCCTCCCAGGCCCCGTCGCGCCCCTCCCAGGCCCCGTCGCGCCCCTCCCAGGCCCGCTAGCGCCCCTCCTGGGCCCCGTCGCGCTCCTCCCAGGCCCCGTAGCGCCCCTCCTGGGCCTCGTCGCGCTCCTCCCAGGCCCCGTCGCGCCCCTCCTGGGCTCCGTAGCGCCCCTACTAGGCCCCGTCGCGCCCCTCCTGGGCCCCGTAGCGCCCCTCCTGGGCCCCGTCGCGCCCTCCCTGGGCCCTGTAGCGCCCCTCCCAGGCCCCGTCACGCCCCTCCTAGGCCCCTTAGCGCCCCTCCTGGGCCTCGTCGCGCCCCTCCTGGGCTTCGTAGCGCCCCTCCTGGGCCCCGTTGCGCCCCTCCTGGGCCCCTGTAGCGCCTCTCCTGGGCCCCTGTCGTGCCCCTCCTGGGCCCCGTAGCGCCCCTCCTGGGCCGCGTAGTACCCCCCCCGGTCCCGTCGCCCCTGCCCGACCCCGTCGCAGCCTTCAGTTCTCCTCTGCACAGCCCACCCCTCTGCCTGTAGACCACAGACTCTCCGCTCCAGTGTCTGAGGAGTTGGTAGAGCCCAGCGGCCCCTACGCAGAGCTGGTGGGTTGCCTCATGTACCTGATGACTTGCACTCGCCCAGATCTCGCATACCCTCTCAGCATCCTGGCTTGCTTTGTGGCCACAGGCAGACACCGACCGCAGCACTGGTCTGCCGCTAAGAGGGTTCTGCGTTATCTTGCTAGTACATCGGGCATGGGGTTAGTGCTAGGAGGACGCAGGCCAGTGGTCCTTACTGGACACACATACGCTTCGTGGGCAGACGACGCTGAGACGCTCAGGTCTACCCAGGGCTACTGCTTCAGCCTTGGCTCAGGTGCCGTCTCGTGGAGAGCTACCCGCTCCTCGTCTCTAGCGCAGTCCAGCTGTGAGGCTGAGATCTACGCTGGTGCCATGGCGGCACAGGAGCTCCGCTGGCTGACCTTCTTGCTCACTGACTTAGGTGAGCGGCCTAGCTCTGCCCCGGTCCTGTTCGCTGACAACAGGGCCATGATCCTCCTGTGTCAGGAGCCTCGACTCGAGGGCAGAGCGAAGCACATTCAGCTGCGGTACTTCCTCCTGCGTGAGCTACAGCAGCGACGTCAGGCTCGCGTAGTACACTTGGCCTCAGGTGCCAACACGGCTGATATCTTTACGAAGGCGCTTGCGCCTAAAGATCATCAGCGGCACTGTGTACAGCTTGGTCTAGTTCCTGTAGCCTCTCACTTGCTAGGACCTTGACTTTGTACTGTCCTTTATACGTATACTCAGACTGGACTTGTGTCCTCTCGCAGTGGCTGGACTAGTAGTGCCGCCCTGCCCTTGTGCTTGCCTTGTTTGTACTCCTTCTGACTGGTCTCTTAGACCCTTGTCTCAGAGGTTGGACTAATAGTGCCGCCCTGAGCTGTTTGTTTAGGGCATTCCCCTATGCAGTCTAGGGGGTGTGTCAAATATGTGTATTTGTCATGTTTGTATAGACTGTATAGGGTCGCCTCTTAGAGAGTACAGCACTTAGGTATATCTTTGTGTACTCTCACTCTATCTATCATTCAATTTTCAATTATGATAATATGCACCACTCCAATACAAACACGATATTACAAAATGCATGACCACAAATACACACAGTATGCAAACGTAGAATCTCGCCATGAATACAATGAAGTGATACACGAATGCTTTCGTGCTGCAAGTGAGGTTGACATGTGCGTTTTGGAGGCAACGCTTTCCAAACCGACAAAGACAACCACATTTTGCGTACTGCACTTGGCATATATGCACCACTCCAGTACAAACATGACACCACGATAACAGTAACGATTCAAACCATGCAATCCACATACTCACGGAAAAAAACACACGCATACACGTATAATAAGGGAGGAGGGTGGAAGAAAAGGGAAATAATAAGGGGGGAACCAAGAAGAGGACAAAGAAGATAAGAACCACACATCATGGGAGTACAAACACAACACACAAGAGAACTGTGAGAGAAACATGAAAGCCCAAATGTGCTGATCACTCAGTTACTACTGGTTGCGATGAAGCACACCCCCCCTCTTCTCCTCCTCTCCTTCCCTACTCTTTCTCCCCCCCCTTCCAATTCCAGCTTATCCCCTAACCCCTCCCCCCCCCCCCCCCCCCCAACCCTTTGTCTTGGCAATGCACAAATGCAGTTACCAGTCGTCTACATAGACCTGCACGCAATGGCGATAGGAAACAAACAGAATTTAGGGTTTAGAAAACATATTGCAGTAATTGAACACTAAGTGCGCTAGCAAAAAGTGCACTAATTTCGCCAAATGATTAGGAGATGGTAAACTAGTGGACAACGAACAAATAGCTGGTGCGCATACAGCTAGTGTGCGGACGGCTAGTGTGCCGAAGGCTAGTGTGCCAACGGCTAGTGCACACATACCTAGGTGCTGCTAGGTGTTGCTAGGTGTTGCTAGGTGTTGCTAGGTGCTGCTAGGTGCTGCTAGGTGCTGCTAGGTGCTGCTAGGTGCTGCTAGGTGCTGCGCCGCTAGGTGCTGCTAGGTGCTGCTAGGTGCTGCTAGGTGCTGCTAGGTGCTGCTAGGTGCTGCTAGGTGCCGCTAGGTGCTGCTAGGTGCCGCTAGGTGCTGCTAGGTGCTGCTAGGTGCCGCTAGGTGCTGCTAGGTGCCGCTAGGTGCCGCTAGGTGCCGCTAGGTGCCGCTAGGTGCTGCTAGGTGCTGCTAGGTGCTGCTAGGTGCTGCTAGGTGTTTCTAGGTGTTGCTAGGTGCTGACCTGCCAGAAGAGAGGGCGCCTCACTATCACTCAGCACCAACGAAGCATGTTGCTTGCCACGCCATCAGCCCGTTCCGCCATCGAGCGCGGTGCCTGTGCGCAGGATCACCGCATGCCTTGTTCCTAGTGCATAGCGGGGCGTCAGAGCGGCTGACGCCAGCGCGTCTAGAGCCAGTGCGCTACGCAGGCCAGACGCTAGGCGTCTGGGCGCTTAGCGCTGGTGACCGCGGCGCCAGTGTGCCTAGAGCCAGCGTGGCGCGAACGCGCTTGCGCCAGCGAGCGTGGCGCCAGCACGCTAGCTCAGGCCAGCGCGGCGCTTGCGCCCCTAGAGCCAGCGCGCGCCAGCCAGCATGGCGCGTGCGCGCCTAGCGCTAGCGCCAACCAGCGCGGCGCTTGCGACCCTAGCGCCAGCGCGTGCTAGTCAGCGCGGCGTCAGCGCCCTGGCGCCAGTGCACTAGCGCAAGTCAGCACGGCGCTTGCACCCCTAGAGCCAGCGCGCGCCAGCCAGCGCGGCACATGCGCGCCTAGGCGCGGCGTCAGCGCGCTAGCGCCAGACACATTGGCGCCAGCGCGCTAGCGCCAGTCAGCGCGGCGCCTGCGCGCCTAGCGCCAACAAGCTCGCGCCAGCAAGTGCGGCGCCAGCGCGCTTGCGGCAGGAAGCGCGGCGCCTTGGCCCCTAGTGCCAATGAGCAGCGATTCTAAATGGTAAGGATGATCTAAGTATGGCGACCTAACTATGACTGCCTACTAAGAACGAATTACGTGCGAAGAGAAGCAAGATTGGGAGCGAGTTGGGTGGAGCAGAAAGTTGGTTTGGGTGTATCAAGATTGCCTTGCCAAGGGCACCACCACCAACCCCTTACCGAGTCAGCAGAGTTCACTCAAACCAAGTCAGCAACTCTTCCGAAAGCCCTAAGTGTCTCATATCGAGAAAAATCTACCCGCTAAACTGTATCCCAGTGAATATGATAATACAATACTTCCCGTGGTGACCAGTTTTCACTCTCCCAATTTAAGCTTAGACTTCAATAATACGTGTGCTATAATTGAGTCGAAATATGGAAAAAAATAAATTATGGTTTTATCATAATGTAAAATCAAGCTTTGGTAAAAAAAAAAAAAACTAGAATAACAAAGCATAGAAAGACAAATATATACCTCAATGAAAATGTATTTATATTTGGGGCCATATGGAGTACATATTTTCCAGGTGAATTTGTTTTTCCGGGTACGCAACCCTTCCGGCGCGAAACGTCGAACCTTGTTAGAGAATTTCCCTGCGTAACTTCCACAAGAAATTATGTTTTTTACCAAGGTTTTAAATAAAAATGCGTCTTAGAAATATAATTCTGATTGCCCGCAAAATCGTTCAGACACTCTTAAACTGACATTAAAAAAACAGGTAAGGTTACAAATCTTTGGGGTGAATAGAGGAGTGTACTAAGTGAAGGCGACAGTTCAAAAGTCCCTCTATCCTGTCCATCCAACCCAATATGCTCATGGTGCTCCTGCCATACCGTTTCCTGAGATTCGGAGAAGGGGAGGCCTATGTCATTGAGTACCACTGCCCGCGGTTGTGTACCTTGCCATATTTCCAGCATATCATAAAGCATATATATAAATCTTGCTGTTCAAGCTACCTCGGTACACGTCGAACTAAATTACTAAAATCTTGCAACAGATAGGGAAAGAGAGTTACGATGTGGGGGGGGGAGGTGGGGGGAGAGAGAGAGAGAGGGGGAGAGGAAGAGAGAGAGAGAGAGCGAGAGAGAGAGAGAGAGAGAGAGAGAGAGAGAGAGAGAGAGAGAGAGAGAGAGAGAGAGAGAGAGAGAGAGGTTGAGGGAGAGAGAAAGAGAGAGAGAGCGAGAGGGAGAGTGTGTGTGAGAGAGAGAGTGCAAGATTGAGAGAGAGAAAGAGAGAGAGAGAGAGAGAGAGAGAGAGAGAGAGAGAGAGAGAGAGAGAGAGAGAGAGAGAGAGAGAGAGAGAGAGAGAGGGAGAGGGAGAGAGTGAGTGAGTGAGAGAGAGAGAGAGAGAGAGAGAGAGAGAGAGAGAGAGAGAAAGAGAGAGAGAGAAAGGGTACTCTCAGGGTGGCACACATAAGGATAGTCTCACAACACGAAAAATGGTTCGTGCCATTCATGACAGGTTACCATTAATGAATATATGAGATACAACTTCGATTGTAAAAGATAGTTATTAAATTCAACGCTGAAACCAACTATTGTAAGTATGGTGTGGCATCTTATGGATTAAACCACGGGGTTGGGAGCCCAACGTACATCATTGTTAAAGCAGTGTGTAGCATAGAGGGCCCATCAGTAGATCGATAGAATGGGGTGTGAAAAATCGGGATGTGGGTGGGATCTGTATGATGTTTCCATCTGGTAACAAGTACATATACAACTTCTGCTGGCCACCACTACAATATTGGCTGCATTAGCAACTCCTTTTTTTTTAATGACTAATACATTTAGGTTCCCAACATTGTAGCGAGTTAAAGGGGAGAGAAAAATGGGGTGGTTAATAAGGCTAGGTGACAAAATTAGCATGTGGGAGAAGAGGCATGGGAGGGGGTGGAGATTGTGGCTTAAAGCGGATCAAACAGGTGGAGAGGGGCTGTCTCGGAAGGCAGATCATTCAAGTGAGAAGGCGCGGCGGGCGGTTGGCAATGTAGAGGGGAGTTAAAGGAAAGTGAACTCAAGAAAGGCTTCATCATCTTCCTGGAAACGCATGAGGGTGGGGTTTGGGGAAGGAGACTGGCGGAACTTGGTGATGGAAGTGAAAAAGCAAAGGTAGTTGAAGCAGGTGGTTGGGGGAAGGAACTATAATGAGGCAGCGATGGGGAAGGTCCAGCTGTTTTTGCTGGAACGGCCCTCCCTGCTGCCATCCCTGACCCTGTTGCTGCTGCCCAACATGGCCCTCATGCCGCTGCCCCAGCTGCTGCTGCCCAAGCAGGCCTCTCTGCTGCCAACGCTGCTACTACTGTTGCTGCCGCTGCCGCTGCCGCTGCTGCTGCCGCCGCTGCCGCTGCTGCTGGTGCTATTGTTACTGATGCTTCTGTGGGTGGTGGTGGTGATGATGCTGCTGCTGGTGGTGTTGGTGTTGCCACGACAGCAGCTGCTCCCATCCTGGCCCTGCTGCTGCTGTCCAAACAGCCCTGCCTGCTGCCCCTCTCTGTTGCTGCTGCTGTCCAAACAGCCCTGCCTGCTGCCCACTCTGTTGCTGCTGCTGGGGCTAGTATTTCCATATGTAGTCACGTCATACTTACTCCCCGTTATTATCTACCTCTCTCGCCTCCGAGCCTGCCCCATACTTTCCCCTACAAGTGCGTCGATTATGCCGCGTCATCTTGTGACAAGTGCTGCATTTGATTGGACGCTTCGGTGCCTCAAATCGTCTAATCATTGGACGTCTTCCAACACCCCTCGGCACAAAATTTGGAGGATCACACACACCGTGAGCGGGATTTGCATTCTCCTGCATGACACGGTCAATACAAGCCCCCATCATTGGAGTGCTGTAGGTAGCTCTCCAATTGGCTGCGGTGAAATAGGAGGAGATGTAATCCTCTGGATCCTTCCCCTTTTCGCGCATCATAGCAAAAGCATGTGAGCATGGAAACTGATATTGCTTCCAATTGCCACACTCACACCACTTCGTGTCAATGTTCACGTTGAACGACATTGGCGAAGTCCACGGTGACCCTCGATTTGTCACAACCCCAGCTCCACCAATGGATGAGCATTCAACAATATAATTCTCCGCCCGGTGCCGCTTGTTCTCAAACCTTTCAGCAGCCTTGGGAGTCAGGAACCCGTCATTCTCACCCGCGTCCTCACTTGCCTCGTAAAGCCTTTTCATCATCCAATCCCACAGGGTTGCAAGCATGTATGCTGGCGGGAGCTTGCGAGTTTTCTTTATGGCAGCATTGATGGACTCTGCCATGCTGCTTGCAAAGATACCGAAACGCACCGTGGGTGCGTGGAAGCGCGCCCAGTGCTTCTCGTCTATCTTGATGTAATGAGTACGTTTTTTTGCCCATCTCATGCCAGTGCGTACTCGGATACCAGATTCTGTCTCATCCGTATGCGGCTCGGGCTGAGCACCACCGTCAGGGCCGTCGATGTTCTCAATGCCCTGACCCTGCTGCTGCTGACCCTGCTGCTGCTGCCCACCCTGGTTCTGCTGCCCCTGACCCTGCTGCTGCTGACCCTGCTGCTGCTGCCCACCCTGGTTCTGCTGACCCTGACCCTGCTGCTGCCGCTGCCTACCTTGATTCTGCTGCCCCTGACCCTGCTGCTGTTGCTGCCCGCCCTGGTTCTGCTGGCCCTGACCCTGCTGCTGCTGACCCTGCTGCTGCTGCCCACCCTGGTTCTGCTGCCCCTGACCCTGCTGCTGCTGACCCTGCTGCTGCTGCCCACCCTGGTTCTGCTGCCCCTGACCCTGCTGCTGCTGACCCTGCTGCTGCTGCCCACCCTGGTTCTGCTGACCCTGACCATGCTGCTGCCGCTGCCTACCCTGATTCTGCTGCCCCTGACCCTGCTGCTGTTGCTGCCCGCCCTGGTTCTGCTGGCCCTGACCCTGCTGCTGCTGACCCTGCTGCTGCTGCCCACCCTGGTTCTGCTGCCCCTGACCCTGCTGCTGCTGACCCTGCTGCTGCTGCCCACCCTGGTTCTGCTGCCCCTGACCCTGCTGCTGCTGACCCTGCTGCTGCTGCCCACCCTGGTTCTGCTGACCCTGACCATGCTGCTGCCGCTGCCTACCCTGATTCTGCTGCCCCTGACCCTGCTGCTGTTGCTGCCCGCCCTGGTTCTGCTGGCCCTGACCCTGCTGCTGCTGACCCTGCTGCTGCTGCCCACCCTGGTTCTGCTGCCCCTGACCCTGCTGCTGCTGACCCTGCTGCTGCTGCCCACCCTGGTTCTGCTGCCCCTGACCCTGCTGCTGCTGACCCTGCTGCTGCTGCTGCCCGCCCTGGTTCTGCTGCCCCTGACCCTGCTGCTGCTGCTGCCCGCCCTGGTTCTGCTGCCCCTGACCCTGCTGCTGCTGACCCTGCTGCTGCTGCCCACCCTGGTTCTGCTGCCCCTGACCCTGCTGCTGCTGACCCTGCTGCTGCTGCTGCCCGCCCTGGTTCTGCTGCCCCTGACCCTGCTGCTGCTGACCCTGCTGCTGCTGCCCACCCTGGTTCTGCTGCCCCTGACCCTGCTGCTGCTGACCCTGCTGCTGCTGCCCACCCTGGTTCTGCTGACCCTGACCATGCTGCTGCCGCTGCCTACCCTGATTCTGCTGCCCCTGACCCTGCTGCTGTTGCTGCCCGCCCTGGTTCTGCTGGCCCTGACCCTGCTGCTGCTGACCCTGCTGCTGCTGCCCACCCTGGTTCTGCTGCCCCTGACCCTGCTGCTGCTGACCCTGCTGCTGCTGCCCACCCTGGTTCTGCTGCCCCTGACCCTGCTGCTGCTGACCCTGCTGCTGCTGCTGCCCGCCCTGGTTCTGCTGCCCCTGACCCTGCTGCTGCTGCTGCCCGCCCTGGTTCTGCTGCCCCTGACCCTGCTGCTGCTGACCCTGCTGCTGCTGCCCACCCTGGTTCTGCTGCCCCTGACCCTGCTGCTGCTGACCCTGCTGCTGCTGCTGCCCGCCCTGGTTCTGCTGCCCCTGACCCTGCTGCTGCTGACCCTGCTGCTGCTGCCCACCCTGGTTCTGCTGCCCCTGACCCTGCTGCTGCTGACCCTGCTGCTGCTGCCCACCCTGGTTCTGCTGACCCTGACCATGCTGCTGCCGCTGCCTACCCTGATTCTGCTGCCCCTGACCCTGCTGCTGTTGCTGCCCGCCCTGGTTCTGCTGGCCCTGACCCTGCTGCTGCTGACCCTGCTGCTGCTGCCCACCCTGGTTCTGCTGCCCCTGACCCTGCTGCTGCTGACCCTGCTGCTGCTGCCCACCCTGGTTCTGCTGCCCCTGACCCTGCTGCTGCTGACCCTGCTGCTGCTGCTGCCCGCCCTGGTTCTGCTGCCCCTGACCCTGCTGCTGCTGCTGCCCGCCCTGGTTCTGCTGCCCCTGACCCTGCTGCTGCTGACCCTGCTGCTGCTGCCCACCCTGGTTCTGCTGCCCCTGACCCTGCTGCTGCTGACCCTGCTGCTGCTGCTGCCCGCCCTGGTTCTGCTGCCCCTGACCCTGCTGCTGCTGCCCACCCTGGTTCTGCTGCCCCTGACCCTGCTGCTGCTGCCCACCCTGGTTCTGCTGACCCTGACCCTGCTGCTGCTGCTGCCCACCCTGGTTCTGCTGCCCCTGACCCTGCTGCTGTTGCTGCCCGCCCTGGTTCTGCTGGCCCTGACCCTGCTGCTGCTGCCCACCCTGGCGCTGCTGCTGTCGTCCCTGCTGCAGCTGCTCAAACAACCCTGCCTGCTGCCCACCATGATGCTGCTGCTGGCTTAACAGTCCTCCCTGTTGCCCACCCCACTGCTGCTGCTGCTCACCCTGCTGCCTACGCTGACCCTGCTGTTGTTGCCCAAACAGCCCTCCCTGCTGCCCACCCCGCTGCTGATGTTGCTGCTGTCCCTGCTGCCACTGCGTACGCTGACCCTGCTGCTGCTGGACATGCTGCTGCAGCTGTCCATGCTGCTGCTGTCCACCCGGGACCTGCTGCTGCTGCCCCTGCTGCTGCTGCGGCCCACCTTGGCCCTGCTGCCCCTGACCCTGCCGCTGCTGCCCAAACAGCCCTCCCCACTGCCCACCCTGTTGTTGCTGGTGCTGCTGTCGCAACTGTTGTTGCTGCTGCTGCCAAAATAGCCCTGCTTGCTGCCCACTCTGCTGCTCCTGCTGTCCGTGCCACTGATGTGAACCCTGCCCCTGCTGTTGCTGGCCTTGCTCCTGCTGCTGTCCCTGCTGCTGTTGGCCCTGGTGCTGATGCTGCTGCTGCTGCTGCTGCTGCTGCTGCTGCTGCTGCTGCTGCTCAGACAGCCGAGTCTGCTGCCCACTCTGCCCCGGTTGCTGCTGCTGCCCATGCTGCCGCTGCTGTTGGCCCCGCCGCTGGAGGCGACCCTGCTGTCGGCGTGGCTGCTGTCGAACATTGCCAGCATACTGTTGGTGCTGCCGCCCAGACTGTGGCGATTGCTCCGAGGGTTCATGAGAAGTTGGCTGATTTCTGGTTGATCCCAGGCTGCCTGTTGTTGGCACACGCCTTCGTACACGTCTTGTCCCCTGACTGTTGCGTGGGAAGTCGGTGTGAACACTCGGTGTACCCAGTAGGTACGCCGCGAAGTTTGGAAACCGTTCTCTAGCCACCTTCACATAGGTCTCCCACTTCTTTTCTGACCTGCAGTCTTGGAGTTTTCTAAATAGGTCAACAGCATTTGGACCGAACCTTGTCAAGTTCTGCTCCAAGTGCCACGAACAAAAGTAGTGCGGGAGTGAGGGGAAGACTTCCTTCACAGCAGGAACAAGACCTTTGTCCCTGTCACTAATCACAGACGCATCATCCTCGCCTAACCAGTCAGGAAAGTGGCTTTTGAAGCACTCCAAAAACCACCTCCAGCTACAAAAATTCTCACCTTCAACCAGTGCGAAGGCGAGAACAATGATGTTGTTGTTACCATCCAATGAAGTTGCGATGAGGAGCGTTGCACGTTGAGCAGAAAGCAAGAACGTTCCATCAAGGGCAACTACCGGGCGGCAACACTTTAGAGACTCTCTGGTTGCGGAAGGGGCTACAAAGAAACGTTTGAATTGATGTTGATATGTTTGCAGCCTGACAGTGGCACCCGGATCAATAAGCTTCAAACGTCTCTGGAGTGAAGGAATGAACCTGAAGGAGTCTCTCCAACTGCCAAACCGTTGAGTAACGATCTTCTCCTTCAATCTGTTTAGTGGACGGGGATGGATCGAGAAGGGTTGAAACTGACTTGCATTCAAACCATGGCTATCAAGGTATGTGGGAAGTACATAGTATAATTGGTGACATTTGAAATGCCAAGTCAATCTCACCTGTATGCTTGTTGATACTTGATAGAAGGCCCCCCAGTTGCCACGATCTGGTCGATGTACTCACGCGGAGCGAGAAACGGCGCCCCTCTAACAAGTGCTCCGTACAAGCGTTCGAGGAATTTTACTTTGTTCACCATAGATTTCACGTAGCGTTCCCTGTCCGGCCAGTCACAGGTGTGCACACTCGCAGGACTTAACTTCTTCACCAACCAAAAGCCCCCCATACGGCAGACACTAAAAGTGCACTCCCACGGGCATTTTTTGCCACCACGTTCTTCAGACGATTTGCACACTGCCCTAGCCCGGGTTGGCTTGCTATAACTCATAGCGAAACCAAAGCGATGCGCAAAAGCGAAATCATAAAGGACGTTGATTACGGCCTCCTTAGACGTGTAGAAGTTCCCGATTTCGATGGGGAAATTGTCGTCTACGTTGCAATGCGGTTCTGGAGATGGATCAGAATCCATTGCCTCAAGAGTTGCTGCAAGCATCTCCGTCTGGGCGTCCTGCACTGACATTGTAAAAACTGAACTATTATTCCCGCTGATAAATAACTGAACATGTCTTGGTATATACGTAGCTAACTTTCTGTAGAAGTCTACGTAGACTACATAGAGAGAGGCGTGTGAGGCAGCGTGCGTGAGTATGCTGGAGAAACCCTAATAGTATGAGGGGTGAGCCCCTGCCTTATTCGCCTGGCTTTCCTCGCATTTTAGCTTTCCGCAGGCTTCGGAAATGTTTCCACAGCATTGCTGATGTGGCATTGCCTTCTCTGCTCGGGAAATTTTGTGACCATTTCCCGAGCAGAGAAGGCAATGCCACATCAGCAATGCTGTGGAAACATTTCCGAAGCCTGCGGAAAGCTAAAATGCGAGGAAAGCCAGGCGAATAAGGCAGGGGCTCACCCCTCATACTATTAGGGTTTCTCCAGCATACTCACGCACGCTGCCTCACACGCCTCTCTCTATGTAGTCTACGTAGACTTCTACAGAAAGTTAGCTACGTATATACCAAGACATGTTCAGTTATTTATCAGCGGGAATAATAGTTCAGTTTTTACAATGTCAGTGCAGGACGCCCAGACGGAGATGCTTGCAGCAACTCTTGAGGCAATGGATTCTGATCCATCTCCAGAACCGCATTGCAACGTAGACGACAATTTCCCCATCGAAATCGGGAACTTCTACACGTCTAAGGAGGCTGTAATCAACGTCCTTTATGATTTCGCTTTTGCGCATCGCTTTGGTTTCGCTATGAGTTATAGCAAGCCAACCCGGGCTAGGGCAGTGTGCAAATCGTCTGAAGAACGTGGTGGCAAAAAATGCCCGTGGGAGTGCACTTTTAGTGTCTGCCGTATGGGGGGCTTTTGGTTGGTGAAGAAGTTAAGTCCTGCGAGTGTGCACACCTGTGACTGGCCGGACAGGGAACGCTACGTGAAATCTATGGTGAACAAAGTAAAATTCCTCGAACGCTTGTACGGAGCACTTGTTAGAGGGGCGCCGTTTCTCGCTCCGCGTGAGTACATCGACCAGATCGTGGCAACTGGGGGGCCTTCTATCAAGTATCAACAAGCATACAGGTGAGATTGACTTGGCATTTCAAATGTCACCAATTATACTATGTACTTCCCACATACCTTGATAGCCATGGTTTGAATGCAAGTCAGTTTCAACCCTTCTCGATCCATCCCCGTCCACTAAACAGATTGAAGGAGAAGATCGTTACTCAACGGTTTGGCAGTTGGAGAGACTCCTTCAGGTTCATTCCTTCACTCCAGAGACGTTTGAAGCTTATTGATCCGGGTGCCACTGTCAGGCTGCAAACATATCAACATCAATTCAAACGTTTCTTTGTAGCCCCTTCCGCAACCAGAGAGTCTCTAAAGTGTTGCCGCCCGGTAGTTGCCCTTGATGGAACGTTCTTGCTTTCTGCTCAACGTGCAACGCTCCTCATCGCAACTTCATTGGATGGTAACAACAACATCATTGTTCTCGCCTTCGCACTGGTTGAAGGTGAGAATTTTTGTAGCTGGAGGTGGTTTTTGGAGTGCTTCAAAAGCCACTTTCCTGACTGGTTAGGCGAGGATGATGCGTCTGTGATTAGTGACAGGGACAAAGGTCTTGTTCCTGCTGTGAAGGAAGTCTTCCCCTCACTCCCGCACTACTTTTGTTCGTGGCACTTGGAGCAGAACTTGACAAGGTTCGGTCCAAATGCTGTTGACCTATTTAGAAAACTCCAAGACTGCAGGTCAGAAAAGAAGTGGGAGACCTATGTGAAGGTGGCTAGAGAACGGTTTCCAAACTTCGCGGCGTACCTACTGGGTACACCGAGTGTTCACACCGACTTCCCACGCAACAGTCAGGGGACAAGACGTGTACGAAGGCGTGTGCCAACAACAGGCAGCCTGGGATCAACCAGAAATCAGCCAACTTCTCATGAACCCTCGGAGCAATCGCCACAGTCTGGGCGGCAGCACCAACAGTATGCTGGCAATGTTCGACAGCAGCCACGCCGACAGCAGGGTCGCCTCCAGCGGCGGGGCCAACAGCAGCGGCAGCATGGGCAGCAGCAGCAACCGGGGCAGAGTGGGCAGCAGACTCGGCTGTCTGAGCAGCAGCAGCAGCAGCAGCAGCAGCAGCAGCAGCAGCAGCAGCAGCATCAGCACCAGGGCCAACAGCAGCAGGGACAGCAGCAGGAGCAAGGCCAGCAACAGCAGGGGCAGGGTTCACATCAGTGGCACGGACAGCAGGAGCAGCAGAGTGGGCAGCAAGCAGGGCTATTTTGGCAGCAGCAGCAACAACAGTTGCGACAGCAGCACCAGCAACAACAGGGTGGGCAGTGGGGAGGGCTGTTTGGGCAGCAGCGGCAGGGTCAGGGGCAGCAGGGCCAAGGTGGGCCGCAGCAGCAGCAGGGGCAGCAGCAGCAGGTCCCGGGTGGACAGCAGCAGCATGGACAGCTGCAGCAGCATGTCCAGCAGCAGCAGGGTCAGCGTACGCAGTGGCAGCAGGGACAGCAGCAACATCAGCAGCGGGGTGGGCAGCAGGGAGGGCTGTTTGGGCAACAACAGCAGGGTCAGCGTAGGCAGCAGGGTGAGCAGCAGCAGCAGTGGGGTGGGCAACAGGGAGGACTGTTAAGCCAGCAGCAGCATCATGGTGGGCAGCAGGCAGGGTTGTTTGAGCAGCTGCAGCAGGGACGACAGCAGCAGCGCCAGGGTGGGCAGCAGCAGCAGGGTCAGGGCCAGCAGAACCAGGGCGGGCAGCAACAGCAGCAGGGTCAGGGGCAGCAGAACCAGGGTGGGCAGCAGCAGCAGCAGGGTCAGGGTCAGCAGAACCAGGGTGGGCAGCAGCAGCAGGGTCAGGGGCAGCAGAACCAGGGTGGGCAGCAGCAGCAGGGTCAGGGGCAGCAGAACCAGGGCGGGCAGCAGCAGCAGCAGGGTCAGCAGCAGCAGGGTCAGGGGCAGCAGAACCAGGGTGGGCAGCAGCAGCAGGGTCAGCAGCAGCAGGGTCAGGGGCAGCAGAACCAGGGCGGGCAGCAGCAGCAGCAGGGTCAGGGGCAGCAGAACCAGGGCGGGCAGCAGCAGCAGCAGGGTCAGCAGCAGCAGGGTCAGGGGCAGCAGAACCAGGGTGGGCAGCAGCAGCAGGGTCAGCAGCAGCAGGGTCAGGGGCAGCAGAACCAGGGTGGGCAGCAGCAGCAGGGTCAGCAGCAGCAGGGTCAGGGCCAGCAGAACCAGGGCGGGCAGCAACAGCAGCAGGGTCAGGGGCAGCAGAATCAGGGTAGGCAGCGGCAGCAGCATGGTCAGGGTCAGCAGAACCAGGGTGGGCAGCAGCAGCAGGGTCAGCAGCAGCAGGGTCAGGGGCAGCAGAACCAGGGTGGGCAGCAGCAGCAGGGTCAGCAGCAGCAGGGTCAGGGGCAGCAGAACCAGGGTGGGCAGCAGCAGCAGGGTCAGCAGCAGCAGGGTCAGGGCCAGCAGAACCAGGGCGGGCAGCAACAGCAGCAGGGTCAGGGGCAGCAGAATCAGGGTAGGCAGCGGCAGCAGCATGGTCAGGGTCAGCAGAACCAGGGTGGGCAGCAGCAGCAGGGTCAGCAGCAGCAGGGTCAGGGGCAGCAGAACCAGGGTGGGCAGCAGCAGCAGGGTCAGCAGCAGCAGGGTCAGGGGCAGCAGAACCAGGGTGGGCAGCAGCAGCAGGGTCAGCAGCAGCAGGGTCAGGGCCAGCAGAACCAGGGCGGGCAGCAACAGCAGCAGGGTCAGGGGCAGCAGAATCAAGGTAGGCAGCGGCAGCAGCAGGGTCAGGGTCAGCAGAACCAGGGTGGGCAGCAGCAGCAGGGTCAGCAGCAGCAGGGTCAGGGGCAGCAGAACCAGGGTGGGCAGCAGCAGCAGGGTCAGCAGCAGCAGGGTCAGGGCATTGAGAACATCGACGGCCCTGACGGTGGTGCTCAGCCCGAGCCGCATACGGATGAGACAGAATCTGGTATCCGAGTACGCACTGGCATGAGATGGGCAAAAAAACGTACTCATTACATCAAGATAGACGAGAAGCACTGGGCGCGCTTCCACGCACCCACGGTGCGTTTCGGTATCTTTGCAAGCAGCATGGCAGAGTCCATCAATGCTGCCATAAAGAAAACTCGCAAGCTCCCGCCAGCATACATGCTTGCAACCCTGTGGGATTGGATGATGAAAAGGCTTTACGAGGCAAGTGAGGACGCGGGTGAGAATGACGGGTTCCTGACTCCCAAGGCTGCTGAAAGGTTTGAGAACAAGCGGCACCGGGCGGAGAATTATATTGTTGAATGCTCATCCATTGGTGGAGCTGGGGTTGTGACAAATCGAGGGTCACCGTGGACTTCGCCAATGTCGTTCAACGTGAACATTGACACGAAGTGGTGTGAGTGTGGCAATTGGAAGCAATATCAGTTTCCATGCTCACATGCTTTTGCTATGATGCGCGAAAAGGGGAAGGATCCAGAGGATTACATCTCCTCCTATTTCACCGCAGCCAATTGGAGAGCTACCTACAGCACTCCAATGATGGGGGCTTGTATTGACCGTGTCATGCAGGAGAATGCAAATCCCGCTCACAGTGTGTGTGATCCTCCAAATTTTGTGCCGAGGGGTGTTGGAAGACGTCCAATGATTAGACGATTTGAGGCACCGAAGCGTCCAATCAAATGCAGCACTTGTCACAAGATGACGCGGCATAATCGACGCACTTGTAGGGGAAAGTATGGGGCAGGCTCGGAGGCGAGAGAGGTAGATAATAACGGGGAGTAAGTATGACGTGACTACATATGGAAATACTAGCCCCAGCAGCAGCAACAGAGTGGGCAGCAGGCAGGGCTGTTTGGACAGCAGCAGCAACAGAGAGGGGCAGCAGGCAGGGCTGTTTGGACAGCAGCAGCAGGGCCAGGATGGGAGCAGCTGCTGTCGTGGCAACACCAACACCACCAGCAGCAGCATCATCACCACCACCACCCACAGAAGCATCAGTAACAATAGCACCAGCAGCAGCGGCAGCGGCGGCAGCAGCAGCGGCAGCGGCAGCGGCAGCAACAGTAGTAGCAGCGTTGGCAGCAGAGAGGCCTGCTTGGGCAGCAGCAGCTGGGGCAGCGGCATGAGGGCCATGTTGGGCAGCAG